GTCCGGGGCTCGGCTCGGGCTCAGGTTTGGGGTGTCATCTGGGGCAGTGAGAGTCCTGCACGGCTGCGGCAGGATGCACTTCAAAGCCTGTCTCAGCAGATGGCTCCAGGCAGCGCAGCCCAGTCTAGGGTCAGGTCAGTTGGGCTTCCCTTCAATGCTTCATGTTTCTACCATCCAGGGATAGCATCTCCGGGCGCAGTAACCTGCTTCCACCCGATTTCACTGCAGAGTGAATTGAGATTGCGCTTGTCTGCATTGAGTGAAATGGCAAGGCTCTTTGACATCTCCGGTGGGCCTCACGGCATGGGGTCCAGGGAGAGGACGTGACATAGGCCTGTTCTGTTAAAGCGGCACATAACACCTTACCTTACCATCAGCTTGTTGTGGTCTTGAAGTTCTTTGCTTGATTTGTCTTGCAAGTTTCAGGGCCAGCTTGCAGCGCCACCTTCCCTGCCGTGCATGTGCGAGATATTGCAGATTGACCAGCAGATCCAAGATCAAGGATTGCACGCAATGAGCTCGAGAACAACACATTTTGCTTCGGCTGTAGCGGTCGGCCCAGCGACCTCTGCACGAGGAACACTTACGAAGAAGAGGACTTCTTGCCTCGACCCAGACCGTTGACGACATGGAGTTGTCTTGGGGAGCAGATGCTGCGACAGACAGGATTGATGTGGACGCGGTGCCTGGGGGAGCCGGCACTGCGCCAGGCATGACTGACATGGACACGGCGCCGGCAGTGTCCTTACTAGACTCCTTGCCAGAGCCGGATGTGGCACCCCTCGATCAGTCGGACTCTGACTGGAAGCTGCGGGGAGAAGCCTCCACCGAAGAAGGCGAAGGCTGAGAAAAATCCACTGGCTGCAGTGCAGGTGGGTATCCCGGTCGACAATGCAGCAGCTCCTGCAACCACAAGCAGAAGAGAAAACTCAGCTCGCCTGATGGCCGTGGCCTTGCACGAAGGCTTCGTGGCAGGTCAGGCAGGACAGGCAGGACCACAAAAGCAGGCAGAAGTGGCCGAGCCGACGGGCAGACCCGCCAGCCTGCACAGGCAGGTGAAGACAGAGAAGCAATCAGCGCTTGCGCTACTTCGTTTGCACAAGGAGGCCAATCCAGGACTACACTGCATCCTGGCAACTTTTTAGCCGCTCCCATGTGCTGCGTCCAATATGGACCGATGAAGATGCAGCTTTCCTACGACGTGCTCCTACGAGGCCTGGCGGATTTGGAGACCTTCCCTGAGAGAGTACTGCCCATTGCTCGTTTCGCTCTTCATGTGGACGTCCAGATCAAGATCAAAAGGAGCAATGGGCAGTGGCAATGTTGGGAGTTTCACGCGGGAACGGCTAATGAGAGGAATCCGTGATCCATGCTGAACGCGGAAGCTACAGGACATCTTCTTCGTGACTTCCCAGAACGACGAAAATCGTCGTACCAGCAAGGGTCAACGGAGGCACAGCGAAACTTACCCCAGTCCCTTTGGATGCGAACCTAGTGCAGTTCCTACAGAAGCTGCTGCGCATGCCAAAAGATGATGGGGCAGCCTGCAGGAGCTTTGCCCTACTCTGCCGGAGGAGGCCTTCATCTCGGTGCCCTTGCAGAGCCGAGCACAGGCGCGGTGGATCGTGGCGGTGACGAAGGATGGCATCCCTTCTGTGCCCGAGCTCGTCTTGAACTCCAGAGCCGTCTCGGCTACAGCAGATGGCTCATTGCATGCAGTGCAAAGACGAGGACGATGCCGATTGTTGCATCGCCTCTGGAGAACAAAGAGGACATAGCCGTTAGATTCCAAGAACTATCAAACGAATAGTTGAGTTCGTGACATGGCAGGGTTGATCAGTGCAATGCTGAGATGGCAGCATATACGCACTGTCATGGAAAACATGTCACAATGAGCCATATGGATTGCCCTGATGGGGAGATCACAGTGGTTGGCACTCAGTTAACAACAAGAAACCCAGGCCTTGAATGCTACTGTAAGATGCAGCGTCCTGCTGCTCGGGCTTCGGCCTGAAACTGATGAGCTGCCTTGGCTGAGCACGTTGAGTTCCGACGAGCCTGCACTTGTTGCTACCAAATCTTCGGCTGTTGAAAAAGTGATGCAGCATGGCTTGCATGTGGTAGAGTCTGCATGTTTTTCATAGATTGCCACGAATGAAGAAAGTGAGTGCACCATGGAATTTGGAGGCCGACACCTCCCTCGTTTCCCAATTGGGTGGTCTTGCTGTTGTGGCCTTTCTGTCGGAGGCATGCTGACCACCAGTCCGTTGGGACAGAGACAGCGGCTGCCGCCTCTAAGCGGCTCCGACCTGAACTGCGGCTGCGACCCAACCGACAATTCCTGGCGATGCTTTTTTCGAAGGCGAGAATGCGTCGTCCATGGCGCCACCTGCGCGCCTGACCGCGGTGCCGGGCCCTCAAATCCAAAGAATGCCCAAGTCTTGCGCGGATACTGCGGCCGCACATGCAGTATGCGTCGGAACGACGGTGACCGCCACTTCGTCCGGAGTTCAAGATGTTGATGCATTCCAGAATAGGTTTCGAGCAACTAGATCAAGCTTGTGGCACTAGGCAGGGGTTCAACTCGAGATCATTCAAGCATCAGCAGGGCTCGAGCCAAGGCCGAAGAAGGTCTGCACATATCTTGTGCCGATGATGCAAACCCTCATTAGGGACAGTGGAATACGAAATTTTGAAAGCGCTGCCAGGTTGGCTCCTTCCAGTCCCAACCTGTCGCCGGCAAACTCCTCCGTCGGCACCGTCAAGGAGGAAATGGTTTGCAGATTTTTGCAGCGCGCTTGTTCAGAACCTTCAAGCAGGGGGCGTCGCTGGAGCCGTCGGATGCTTCTGCTTCCGGGGCCACGCCCTCGGTGACGCCCCGGTGGCTTCTCCGTGTTCGGCTCTCCCTGGGCTTCAGGTCTCCACAGTGCTGCCCCACGCGTCGCCCGCGACATCACCAGGTGATAGTGCTGGGACGCTTTCGTCGCAACAGTACGACTATCTGGACGGGGTGTCTGCGTGATGCCAGTGTTGAAGAGCCTTTCCCAGGGTTCAACAGAGGCCACCTCACGTGATGTTTCCTGTGTTAGTGCTTCAACAACTTGTTTGAAACAATTGCCATAAGGTGGGTTCCCCTTTTGGTTGGGATTTAGGGCGTAGTTGCGAGGAAGTGTATGGTCGATGGTCCCTCTTTTTAGAAGCACGCTCAGAAGACTCCATGTCGTCCTGCGACATGTGTTGCTCGAGAAGCAGTTGTAGTAGAAATCGGCTCATCTGTGAGATGCCTCATGCGGCACTCGGTCGCCATGTCCAAGTTCTGAGCATGCCAACGACAGCAAAAGATCGTGTGACTGTGGATACTGTTGACGGCTGGACACGGTGACTTAGTGTTTTGGCGTTACGGCCACGCGGCCACCCCTGCTCTAAGCAGTTGTTGCATGCAAGGCCTTTGCCCAGGAATTCCTGGGATCTGTTTAACTATGTAGCAACTATGTACTCTGATTATTTGGGCTCCGAGACTAGGAGGCTTGTTGGGAAACGGCATTGAGATGGCTGTCGTGATTTCCGGACAGTCGCCGGGTTAACCATCGCACATAGACAGCCGGTCTCTGTTGACCTGTCCTCTCGGCCAATTTCCATGCCTTCCGTGTACTGTACTGCAATGAAATCATGGTTTTGGAGCGGTGAAAGTCTCTCCTGGCAACGTGTTGAACGGAACAATGATGAAAGCAGCGGTGAAAACCGCGTTGCCAGGTCACGTCCACTCCGCTCGTCCTACACAGTTGTGCTTCAAGCACAGCCAGCAGCAGACACTGCGTCCCCAGACTGATAATTGAGATGCTGCTTTTTGTGCGTCACATTGGCACTTGTAAAAGCATCTTAAGGGCATGCTCGAGGGTTTTTGAAGGTGAAGTTATGAATGTACACGAGACCAGAATGTCTGCGAGAAAGCTGGCATGTATTCCAGATTATGCTGCACGTACAGTGGTGTTAAACCATTCTCATTGCATCATTGCATTTTTCGCATGGGCAAAAGGATCATGACCAGTTGTGCTATCGGCTGGGTTTCTTTTGAAGCCTTCGCCAATCCCGTTGCCAACTGCACAAGGCAGGTGACTTGCGGTTCTTGGCAAGACTGCTGGATGCAAAGTGTTTCTGGAGCAGAGCCAGATGGCGTTCGGGATGGGTTACACTTCGACTTTTGCACCTTGGTTACCCGTCTGAGACTTTCCAGACCGGACCCTCAGACTGAGTTTTGGACAAGCTGTGCCGCTCAGAGTTTTTGCTTGAGAGAGGGTTTGCATCGCACGTGCAGTATAGACACAGTGCTGTTTCATGTGCCAGCGGTCGTGAATCAAGCGGTCACCTGCTGACATGTTGTACTAGTTCCAGCACGCGAAATTGAAGGCTTCGTAGCTTTGAGGGTGAATTGCTAACTTCTCCGTTTACAACAGTTGGGTCCTAGGAAGGGGATGGAAGACTGTTTGATGGCAGCTGTTTCATCTGGTCGACACAGCTTGTTGCAGCTCAACGATTGGTTCCCAATGTAACATACGGCTTCACCGGTGACCAGGAGGAGTTGCAGGGTCGTGCCTGGGGTTCGGCAAGCACAGCTGTTCATATCGCGATGTTTAAGTGGTTTCGGTCTGGTTGGGATGTTGCTGTAGGCTTCTCCCCAGGCATCCCTGCAATTGAAGCAGACAGGGATGAGGGGTTCGCTGTTTGCTCGCAAAGTGGCAGATGCAGAAACTGATGCTTTCGGTCGGAACTGCGAGCAGCGTCACGTTACAATCATCTTTGTCTGTCCCACTCCCACTCAAGCAATTGCATTAGCTATGAAACACTCGAGACATGCCGGCAAGGTTGCCACGGAGCAGAAGTCATCGTCAGGTCAAGCCAAGCTGTCGCAAGAAGTTGTCTGCAGCTTCCGACACGTACGCTCAGAAAAATGCAGTGTAGAAGCACCTGACGCCCCGTCGTGGGGGTGGCAGGGCGGTGCCATGGCAGCCCTGACAGTGAGACAGGTCGGCCAGGTTGCTCCACCCCTGAAGCAGAAGGTGGAGCAGTTTCAGCAGATCATTGACAACAATGACCAGTCTGTGGCCCGCATCCGCGAGCAGCTACGCAGACTGGAGCCGCAGCGAGAGCGTCTCTCGGACCAGGTCCAGCAGCGACAAGACGACCGCCGGTCCATTCATTCGCAGCTGGCGCGCCTGGAAGACTCCTTGGCCTCTTTCGGGGCAGAGAGTGTGCAGCTCGAGGCTGCAGCTGAGGAGATGCCGCGGCTTCTGGAACGCATTGCAGTGCCGGTGAATGCCCCTGGCGCGCAAGTGGATCCGTCTGGTTTTCGCAGACTGCCGGCAGCAGCCATTGATGTGCCTCTCCCGTACTTCGATGCGCTTGCAGAGCAGCTTGAAGCAAGGACGAAACAGGTCTGTGTAGAACAACATCAGCGCCATACTGCGGCATGCATAGAATCAACATGCAGACGCAGAAGAGCCGTTTTTGCCCCTGCAGGTCTACGAGAGAGTGAATGCCGTCGAAAAGGCCTTGGCGACATACAATCGCCAGGCAGGGGGAGGGAAGTCGGTGGTGTGCTCGGTCAACTCCTATGAATTATGTCAGGCAAATGCGGTCTTGGGAGTTGAGTGGTGGGAGCACAGCACTAAAGGGCGATCTGTCACGATCTAAACGTGAACCACCCAGGAGAGCAGGCTGATCATGCCAAGAAGGCAGTGTCCCTGCCCGAATGGTTTTCTGAACGTTTCCGAGAGTGGCATCGGACGGTCGGGCCCATGCGTGGCAAGTAGGAATCATGACGGATGACCGTGCGAGGGCTTACTCTCCTCAGAATGAGCGGGCTGCGTGGCGGGCTCTCTTCTGGCTCCTCTTTGTTGACTCAGTTGTGGGCCGGTCCTGGGCTTCGAACCCGGCCGGGCGCAGACGCCAAGTGCAGCATTGGTCTGGGCAAACCTGATAAAACTGGGTGATCGTGGAGCGAGACAAAACTACATCGTTTCAGCAATGGTATCGTGTTTCTACGGTGTCGTCACTATTCATTTCCGATTGCTCGTGTCAAGAGCACTCTCGGGAGCGCTCATTCCTAGCCCCCTCGCCCGATCTGACCCCCTGGAACGGTCTGATCGCATTCATTCCGTTGCAGTCGTTGCTGTCATGACTTCGCACCCAAATTTTCTATCAAGCTAGCTAGAGCCGCTCCATGCCAGGTTTCAGGCGTCCCAGTGACATCGCAGATCGAGGCTCGTGTGCAGCTGGTGACAATGAGCCTGCGCACTGCAGCAATACATCATCTGTTCGCGATAAGCCGATAGTCGACAAGTCTGCGAATCTAAACGAACGAAGACTCGAAGGGTGACCTGCTTGAGTTGGTCGGACGAGGCTGTGGTGCGGTCCGAGTTCTTGCAGTTCAAAGCCATAGCTGCCGAGCTCGCACAGGACCACTGTCGAGAACCTAGGTGGTTTTTTAGATTCGCAGTAAGAGACTGTATGTGCGGACATCTGGAGAGAAGGAAGAAGTTCTGTTCAACGTGCAGCAGTCGGTTATCAAGGGCGTTCGGGCGGTGGTTGTTAGTGTGACATGTCGATTTTCACACGGCGTTCTGACGTTCGCATATCACATACTGCAGATCAGAAACCTGCAAAGGGCCATTTGAGCCAGATGATGCCAGGCGGGCGAGCGCATCGAGCAGCTCCGTGATGCAGCTGTGAGAACGCGAGGCCTCGATTGCAGCCTGCTTGTAGCCGAGTTTGCTTCGGCCTGAATCCATCTGAATGAACGTCAAGCACCTTAGTTTCGACATGAGCTGTGAGGTGGCATTGTCAGACGGCCAAAACTCCTCTGCATGTTTTTGACTTCCCTTTGCTTTGTCTTTCTTTTACACAGACCTGCAACAGATGGGCTCCGTGCCGTCGCTCCTACCGCCCCATGTAATTAAGTTTGTAGTGTAATGCTCCTGGGTACAGCTCCGGAAAAGACTGTGTGGGAGCCTGGAGATGCGGGAAGGTTCGTGAGCCGTCCTCACTTGAAACGGAATCGCCACAAGGCATGGCTCGCGGTTATCCCCATGACCTGATAAAGAAAGGTCGAAACTGCCTGAATTCGCAGTGGGTGAAACGTTTCTTCGTATGTCATGATATATAAGAGGCGATCTAGAAACACTCTTCCCACGTAGCCATGCGAAACCGGCCGGATGCAGCACAGTGCTGTAACTGGAAGCTCGAGTAAGTGTCGGATTCGTGGCTCTTGTGTTGTGGTGTTGTGCCGTACGAAACTGTCTCAATTGCCTGCAAAGACGAAGTCGAGCATACATGCTGAGACGCAACAGCTTGTCTGTGCAGCATCCCAGGCAGGTCGATTGCATATTGCATCATGTTGCGTCCGACTTTTGAGCAAATCTTGCCGGTCTCTACCTTTATGATCCGAAGTCCGAAGCTGGATGTGTTGCCCAACACACTCCAATCGTTCATGTTGTGTGTTTGAGTGGCCATTTGTTCACACACAGGTGTTCCAGTGGGCATGTGCGATTCCTAGCTTGCTCGCTTGTTCATGCCTGCCCTCTCACATCCTTCGCCTACCATGCAAGGTTAGCGCGCCCTGCAGAACAGGACTACGATCAACGCATGGCGAGCTCGGCAAGTTTCAAGTAGCCGCCCAGCCACAGGAGGGGCGCAGGGGCGGAAGATGTCACTAGCCTGCAGGTCGCTGCCCGAGCCGGAGCAAACTTTGGAGCTCTGCCCTCAGAGTGAGATGAGTGAGCTCTCTCAGCGGCCCTTCGCGCATCTCCAGTTTCTTATTTTGGCGTTGCGTTGCCTGCATTCTGGTGCTGGAAGCCTGGTGTTGTACACGCAGCGCACGCACAGCCTCCAAACCTGGAATCTGGCGACGATCCTAAACGAGGTCAAGCCGGGAACCCGAGAACGGAACAAGCAAGCAAACATGACCGAGCAGTGACGCCTGTGTTTTCTGCCCGAGGGCACGCCGCGGGGTCTCATGGTGGAGCTTGCGGTTTAAGCACCCCTCTTCTCCCCTCCGCGCCCATTCCGTGCCGTGACGTGCCGTGGTGTCCTTGGTCGGATCCTGCGCCCGCCTCCCTTCGGAACGCTTGCCCGGCGGTGTCATGCCTGCCCCGTGCTCATCGGTGTCCCTATGCTACCCTTCTCATGCACTATGTGCGGATCCCATTCTAAGCGAGTGTCTAACCTCCGAGAAGGTTTTGAGGCAAAAGGGCTCACATGTTCGACTTCGTTCAGGGCCAGCTTCTCGGGCCCCTTGCCATCAGCTCGTCTCGCCGGCCTGCTTTAGCTCAGCTTCAGGCTGTTGAGCCTTCTGCACGAGTCCAAACCGTGGCAGGATCGGTCTGATGGGCTGCGGTGGCTGCATGGTTGCAAGTGGAGGTAGATTACCAGCCCTCCCAAGTGGCCTCGTGGGTTGCGAGAGCGTTACCTTGTTCCGCAAAGGAATGATTCCGGGTGCAAGCCCCGCGGGAGCAACTAGTGCTGGCCTATTCGGTGCCAACACTGGTGGAGGCTTATTTGGTGCCAACACCGGTGGAGGCTTGTTTGGTGCCAACACTGGTGGAGGCTTATTTGGTGCCAGCACTGGTGGAGGCCTCTTCGGTGCCAACACCGGCGGAGGCATGTTCGGTGCCAACACTGGAGGAGGTCTGTTCGGTGGCAACACCGGCGGAGGCATGTTCGGGGCTAACACTGGGGGGGGCCTTTTCGGCGCCAATACTGGTGGAGGCTTGTTTGGTGCCAACACTGGTGGAGGCTTGTTTGGCCAAAGCTCCAGTGGCGGCCTGTTTGGGCAGAGCTCGGGTGGAGGCCTGTTTGGAGGGAACACCGGCGGAGGCCTCTTCGGCCAAAACACAGGTGGAGGCATGTTTGGGCAGAATACTGGTGGAGGACTGTTCGGCAACACCGGAGGGGGTCTGTTTGGACAGAACACCGGGGGTGGTATGTTCGGCCAAAACACTGGTGGAGGAATGTTCGGACAGAATACCGGTGGAGGCCTCTTCGGTGGACAGAACACCGGCGGTGGACTCTTTGGTGGCGGCAACACAGGGGGTGGTCTCTTCGGAGGTGCTGCTAATACTGGCGGTGGACTCTTCGGAGGCAACACTGGGGGAGGCCTGTTCGGTGGAAATACTGGCGGCGGCATGTTTGGAGCAAACACTGGAGGCGGCTTGTTCTAAACTTTGCAGAGGAGCCTCGAAAAAGAGTACCGGTTCGTTGTGTGGAGTCCTTGTGAGACTGGTGTGATAGTTTCCGTAGAACCACCTGAGCAGGAGTACAAAGTAACAGAGTAGAACATAACATAACTCGCCTGAGAAGTTCTGCCCGTGTGCATGTGGCTCAAAGCCGATGGGCGTCCGCGCACAACGTGTGGCCGGAACGTCCCATAGGTACGGGCAGGCGCCGCAGCGATATCGCAACAAGAAAGTCAGTCTGCGTGCCTGTTGGCTCCTGACAATTCTATCTGTTGCTCTCAGGGCAGCCCAGCATGGAGCGCGATGACTCCTTGTCATGCCATGCAAAGTTTTAGCCAATAGGCATTCATGGGGCGGCTGTGAGAGCTTGTCCAGTGACGCACCAATGCCAGGTTTAACGTCGACTCTGGCCATGCACTTGGAGCTGGCACGAGACGTCTTATCAATGCATCAGCGACTCAGTGCCTCATGCGATGCCGAAGTGGACATTCAACTTTCTGATAAGGTTTGGAGGTGAAGAGCACCGTGACAACGGAGGCAGGTTCCATGTTGGTGTTGGTGCCGCCTGATTTACTGTGTTCGTAAATCTCTGCTGCTCAGCGTTTCGCTCAGCCATGACTCAGCAAATCTCTGCAGGGCCTGGGCTTGCTGGGCTTTGACCTCATGAGCTCCCGGGCGCTTCGGTTGCAGGTAGGCTCAGCAGAACACATTGCATGGCAAGGTCGGGAAAGCAATGTGTCACGAATTCACAAAGCTGCAGAAAAATATCGAGGACATGTTCAGATCTTCAAGCAACCCTGTGATATGGCCGCCCAATGTTCACAAAAGGTTTCTTGCCCTGCAGGAGTAGCACGACAGCTGCTGGGTCGAAAGGCAGCGTTACGGCGTTTGTCAACTCGGTCTAGTTTTTCCTGTGTAGCTGTGACCGCTGCTAGGACCTGGAAGCTGTACCTAGAGGAGTGATGCAGCGCGTCATCACTACTCGGCAGGACTGAGCTTTGTTTCCCGTGTGTCCTGGATTGATCCCAGGTCCTTCCATAGCGTAGGGGTCCAGGATGGTCCATTAAAAGCCACGTTATGTCCTGGTGCCTTGCTATGATGGTGCAGGAGAGATTTTATGGCTGTCTGCCAGGATCCTCAGCATGGCTCGTACATGACTGGTTCCTGATTCCTGTAGTCAGCGCTTGTTTCGATTTCTGTGCCTTTGGTGCAGGTCACTTCCTGTGAACTTGCTGTTTTTCCTCTGCTTCGTCATCGCGGTAGACGTCCAAGAGCGTCAGCAGCTGTTGTTGATGCTAAATCCCATATTCAGGCAGAGAATTGTAGTTGGGATGTGGAATGCTGACTGAGCATGGGCTCGTTGCCAGCTGCCCATTTGTGATGCTTTCTCGACTGCTTCAGCAGAGCTTGAGTCAGCGGTTTCGCTTTAAGCCAATGCTTCGGAGGTTGCAATGCACGAAGATATCACCACAGTATACATGGTCGAGCCATGCGCCAAGGTAAGCAGACTGTGAGAGGCCACTGCTCGAAGAAGCATCGTCTGAGGTCTGGGCTTAGGACACACCTTTCCGATGGGTCAGATGACATCGGCGACACGGAGGGCATTTGGTCCTGGTGGGCCCCCAAGAAATCCTTTCATCACTTTCTGCACTTCACCTACATCCAGCTGACCTGCCCAGGTTAGAGGGGGAGCTTATGTTTGGGACACAGCAACTCACTGCCGAGAGAATTTCACATCTAGGACTCTGAGACCTGCATCACGACAGAGTTGCCTGGAATCTGAAGGCCTAAGCTCTTTCTGCAGTCTGATTCACTTGGTGTACCGTTGCTCGCTCAGGGCCTGTGAAGCATTGAAAGGAACAAGAAATCAGTTTGCAACATGAAAGATCTGGCTGCTTCCTAGGTACCAGAACAAGTCCATGTGCACCACTTAGACAGATCAAGTTTTCTGTGTCTTGATCGGAAGTTGTCACTGCTAACTCAGGTGGAGCCGAGTCCTGACTTACAATCAGGTTACAGGCTCGCCGGAAGATGTTGGCTCGAAGAGAGTCTGTCGACAGCCTGAAAGGTCCTGTGGTACTGGAACAGCAGCGGAGCACAAAGTCCTGGCCTCAGCTCAACTGGGGGGCGCGCGTCGGCCTCGGTTGAAAAGACGGGGCTTCCAGATGCAAAACTGCAATGAGGACCTTGTGCGAAGAGGGAGAGGGTGTTGCCGGCGACATGTGCGCCGCACGGTCTGCAGGGATGCTCGCATCTTCAGCTGAGGACCTGTCTCAAGGGACTGAGTGCTTGGCTAGTGATGCGCCAGAGAACCAGGTGAGCTTCGAGCAATCGGCCCCACCTGGGAGGTACTGCTACGGTCAGAGAACATCCTCACGCGACTCTTTCGGTTCCAATCAGGCGCTGGGTCCATGCTCTTAAGCCTAGGGCCCGACAGGTGCATCAGGCCGAGGCCGCAAGAACTGTATCATGAATCGAAACCCACGCACGAAGATCCCGATCACAGGAAGCATCTGTAAGTGTCGCAGATCATGACTCTGCAGAGGTGCTTCCGATCACTGCGCCGGATCCTCGCGAGTACGAGGGAGGAGCTGTGACGCCGCTGAGCCGCCTTAATGCCCGAGCTCGAAGTGCAACTCTCGAACGAACTTCCTTTGCGTTTTTTTGGTCTGACTGCAAAACATGCGCTAAGGCCAGCACAGAGAAGAGCATACTATGCCAAGGGCTGAGAGCAACATTGAACAAGACTTTGCCGCATGATGGAGTGCATGGGCTGCATCTGGCTCAATTCAGGACTCTGCTTTCGAAGTAGCACCATCCTCCTCACGAAGGAAGGGGGAAATCTTGGGTTTGCTATTGAAGGCTAAACGTGCCGGGCGCTCACCTGCCAGGCTTGCTGAGGACACTCGGCCAGAATTCGATTTTCTGTCACAGTCCCAGCAATCAAAATGGCTTCGTGCACATCCAGATCTTGGGCGTTGTTGGCACATTGCAGTCGGATCGCAGGCTGCCACGAAGCTTTCCAGAGGAGCCATCAGCAGCCGAACGCAGTTTGCAGTCTGATGGACTAGTAGCTTGCTTTTGGAAGGATACTTTCCAAGTGGCCATCTACCCGAACACGCCGTCTGATCTTATAGCAGAGCATGTCGCCTACATCAAAAACCGTGAATGGTTAGATGTCCGGATCCCGGTGGAGTACCTCTGCCTTGCCGCTGTGTGTTGTAATCCTGCCACATCTTGCCACCACTATGGAACTCAGCGTAGCACAAGTCGCGAGATTCTTTCGAGTGTGTGCGTGTACATGCAAACAGTTCCGAGGTGCGAACGAAGCTTTTGAAGATTAATGCCGTGCTCGTGAATGCTGAAGTCGGAAGGTTTCTCGTGCACAATGGACGGGTTCTGCACGGAATCTGTGGCTCATACTGCCTTCGCGGAAGGCCTCGGCTGCAGAAGTTCACCATCGAGTTGGCCGGGCTGCCTTGGAACACACCACTAGAGCGATCGCAGCGTGCCCTGTGCATCCAAGGCGCAAAGCCGCGGAGGAGGCTTCTTCAAGCAGGTCAGGTCAACCTCCCAGATACTGTTTCCGGTGACACTTGCAGCAACACAAGCTATGACTTTGGCTGAGGGTTAATACGCTGTTCCTCGAGATGTTCCCTGGCGCAGCCTGCTCAGACTGCGGACTGACTCTGAAGAGTCCTTGCTACTGCTCACCATGTAGAAGCAGTTTCGCTTCGTAAGAACCCGACTCCTTCCGAGTGCGAAGCGTCTGGCTTTCAGGTTGCGAGCATCGTGTTTGACATCCTCTTTGCAGTATTCTTGTTAGGCTTCTTCCTGTCCGTGGCTAAGATGCTCAGACCGAAAGCAAACGGGACATGAAGAGCCCCTTGGGAATCCAGGGACCCCTGAAAGGTCCGAGTGTTTCCAGCTCGGAAAGGCGATCGCCAGGCGGAAGGCCGGGCAGGGCTAGGAGTCGCAACTGCGGACGGTGGAAGCAGACGCACCAACATAGATCGAACCGGCATTTGCGCACGGCACGGTTCGAAGATGTAGAAGAGGTAGATGTGCCAAGGTTGTTGTAGGCGGGTGTTGCACATAGCCTCCAGGCTGCTCTGTCGTGGGTCTTGTTGTGCTTGGAAGCAAACGTAATGCTGCAACGACGGCTGCTGTCTGCCACTACCGCTGCTACTACTACTGCTACTACTACTACTACTACTACTACTACCACCACGACTGCTACTGCCAACACCCCGAGTGCTGCTCCTTTTGTTGCTTTTCTTCCCGCTTTGTCAGTTGGCATCATGCTCTTACTACCGACGACGTGCCATGACGACGACAGCGCTTACCACTAATGCAGTGTCACTGCGGCGGCACCGCCGACCACTTCTACCGGAGGTCCTGTTGCCAGCTACTACCGCCATCGTTGCTACAGCAATGCTTTTGCTGTGACTTCTCCGCTGTGCTGCTTCTTCTTGTTATGCTGCTGTGTCCCGGCTCGTACTCCACAGCCATTGTAGTCTACAGTGTGATGAGTAGCTTTGTCAGCTATAATGCTGAGGTTGCGTGTTCTGTTTCCTATCGAGCCTATCGTACTGACATCATTGCCATAGTGATTGCGGGCGGTACGCCATCATTCCTTGCCACTGGGACTCGAATTGATGTTGTCAATGCTGCCGTCACTCTCATCAAGAGGCTTGCAGCCGTATTTGGATGATGTGATTGTGCAAAAAGCATTGTTTGCATTTGATCGCTTTCGGACAGGGCTGGAAGCACATCAAAAAAGGGTGGACCCTGTTGCAATGGCTCACTATCTGTTCGGATCTCAGCAAGGACCGTGGCATGCTGTTCGGATTACTGCTAGACTCTCAAGCCGACTGAAGCCGAGTTGGTGGCGCTGCTGTCCTCATCGGCTACGGGTATGAAATGTTTTTGCGTTTGTGGCCTCAGTTTTGGCGTAGAGCATCTTGCTCTGCATGCCGCGTTGTTGCAGCACGGAGCGTGACAAGATAGTAATTGTCGCGCTTAGGCGAAGATGTTGTCTCGGCATACAAAGCAGTGGTTGCAAATGCGGAAGAGGAGCCGTTGTTGGCAGCAGTTGCATCCTTGCGAAAGCAGGAAAGCAAATAGGGTGGCATTCCAGTTTCGGGATGCCGCAGGCAGCATAGATTCAACTCTGCAGCTGGAAGGATCTTCCTGCAGACACTAGCACTGGCATCGCGCTGCTAAATGAGGCCTTGTTCCCTGCGCATCCGTGACCAAGACACGTGCGAGTGTTGCTGGTAATCGAGGTTGAACAAATGAGCTGGTTCGTGGTCAACTTCCGGGTGGTTACCGGTCTGCCGCATCCTTAGTGTTCCAGCTAGTGGCTACAGCTAGCGATGGTGCAGGAGAAGCAACAGGAGTGTTGCGGTGTTGCTTCTGGTTCACTCAAACCATAGACGCAGCCGGCCGTGGAACAACGACTTCAAGAGCTGTTGCCTTCGTGGTCAGGTACTGCTTGCTTCTCATGGTGCGCTTCTTCACCGCCTTTGGAGCGCAGCCACGACTAGCCGTGGTGACCAAGACGTTGGAGGCTGCCAGTGGCTTCGTGGAGATGCTGCTGAGCCGGCTGGTCGTGCTTAAATTCATAAATGTGTCACGCAGGCTTCCTTACTGTGCAGCCTCTGCTCGTATGCAGATGTGCAGACATGTATTGCCCCACATAGAATCCTAGAAGCCTCTCCAAGACGTGCCGGTTTTTCGGAAACTTGAGTCGTGGGAATAGGTCAGCGCCTTCGACATTGTCCACTTCCTGGTAGTTTTAGCCCCGACATGGCTGGTCTGAGCCTTGACGTCCCATAGTGTCTCCATAGTTCAATGTGGGGCCCCACCAAACCAGCCCAGCCGTCGCGACCAAGGCTTACGCTCTGTGCCGGCCTTAGCTTCGCGAGCACACCACAGGGTCAATCGACCGGACAAAGTTTGAGTTGTGTCAGCCACAGGGCCGGGTGCTTCATCTTCGGCCGAAGGATGGAGGATGGCGTATTTGTGTTGGGGAAGGCGTCCGTCGGTTCTCGCTGATACTGAACGAGGAGTTCGCGACTTTGGACGCTTCGATCGGCTACTGCTTCAAGCTGATGATTGAGGGAGAGCATGGCTGGCTTGATTGAAGCAAGTTCATGAGCAGAGCAGTGCAAGGGTTACTCAGGGTCGACGACGTTGGATCGCCAGGTATGATTGGCCCTACTATTCGGAAGAGCTATGGCCCCAGTTAAAGACAGCATCACTCCTGGTCTCAAGCAGTAGCTGCCTAAGGAATTACTTCACCACGATGTTCTGGATGTGGACTTTCATGGTGTTGCTAAATGTGGTCATGTTGAATCTGGTGGGAGCCTTGGTGCTTTTCCTGATTTTGCGGACCTCCTGCCAGCTGCGTCGTGTAGGTCCTAGCCATCATTTTGGATGTCTACGGCTCGATTCGGAGGGAGACTGGCAAGAGTGAGACGGCGTCCGCACCTCGGAACCTTCGGAGGTTGAAAAGTGGCATACAACCACGGGTTTTTCCAAGGTGGCTCACACTCTGGCGAATGCTTTTGCAGCTCTGGTACCGTCGGGTCTGGGTGAAGAGTGCAACACTGCTGCAGGCGTCCTAAGTTGTTGTCCAAGTATCTGACACTGCGAATGCTCATGTTGATGCTTGCAGGCTTTAGAGGAGCTGCCAGCTGAGATCCGACGTGAAGACCTGCAAGCAACGTGGCTGAAATGAGCGGGTTTTCAGTTCACTGGCCAGAGTAAATGCTGGCCTCAGCAGCGCTCTGGATCGAAAGGGGAGTGTTGCGTCTAATAAACGTTTCAATTGCTTGGCCGGGGGTGGCGATGGATTTGCATGCACAAGGGGAGCGTTTCGTTTAGGGCTTATGTGCCTGCCTTCCTCCTTGATTCTTTCCCCCCCATCCGTGGATGCAGCTTGTCGAAAGGGTTGGCTTCCTCTTCCCGAAGAGCCTTGCTTGTCGACCGAGGAGAAGTTCCCTTCCATGTGCAACGCCGCCTCCTCAGCCCACTAATGCCTTCTGCAATGGCGAGCTGCGAGCCTCCGCTTTTCCGCTGTGAAATCACTCGAGCGGCGCATTGAAACGATGCGCACTTCGAACTCATCGTGTATGGATTTCTCGTCAGGAGCAGCTCAAGGTCTTGTTCCAGGAGTGCCACTTCCAGGCACGACGAGCGAAACCTTGCCATGCTAGAAGAGTCGGGAAGGAGACAAAGCCGGCATTAGGATCGTCAGATCCTCAGCACCCGATGTGTTCTTGGCAGGTCCAAATGGACGATCAAGCAGCCTCTCAGAGCAAGCGGTCAGTGCCCCTGTCGGAGATGCCGCATGACGGAATGCAACATAATATCGTCCTAGGATGCGTTGTTCACCGCGCGCAAAGTCTTTGCATTTAAGTAAGACGAAGTAAGCTTCGGTCCCCGGCGACTGCAGGTGCATGAAAATGGCACTGTCCTGCAAACTAGCGTTGGATCAGGCAATGCCGATGTCTAGCACATGTCTATAGATTGATTACTTGCGGGCAAAGCGCAGTGTGCATCGGTGGTCCGTGCATGTGCAGGTGACAGACACAGCCGCAGCCCAAGTGCAGAAAAACATCTGTGAAGGGGGAGATGCTTTCTGCGTGCAGCCGACAGCTTTGCGAGCCGAGGTCAAAGCACTGCACAGTGGCACCATTGAGACCGGCGGGCAAGACGGTCCCGCCTCAGACTGGGTGCGGCACCAAGAACGCCTCGAACTGCGAAGGCTTGCACATGTTCGAAGACGCCAAGGTCCAGAAAGTCGCGGATGAAGTGGCAGAGCAGAACCATTACATGTCGTCTCCGTCTCGGCCATGAGTCTACGCTGCCTTCCTGTGCTGCTTGAGTCGGAACCACTTGCGACCCATATCCGCAAAGCTGCATAGACTTACTAAAGGACACTACGAAAAAGACTGGAGACGGTCCAGAAGCAGTGGGAGGCCTTCAATTCCTTTCCGTGCTCTGGTCTTTTGTAAGTCTCATCCCGCGGAGGCCATCAAGCAGAAAGAGCAGCCTCGGCACGACTTGAATTATGGGATGGGTCAACGGCGGTCGTCGGCTTCCGCCCTGATGCTGGCCGGAATAGTAGCATCAAGGAAGCATTTCCGAAACCCTTCTTAACCAGATTCTCACAGCGAGGAAGGTCAGCCGCAATTGAAAGGCAGAACCACCGATTCCCCAGGTTAAAGTTGTTTCATGATTCCGTTATGGATGCCATTCCTGTCTGTCGTCGGTACACAGCCACTGTGGTAGGGCTTGCTACATGAAAACACTCAAGGGAATGTCAGTTGAAGGGACGGTCTCCACGGAAAGAGAAACCTTTAAGCAGGGCAGTCAAACCACCCCGCGGAGTTCGAATATGATGAAAAGCACAAACTGAATTCAATCAGTTCACCTGCAAGGAGAAGCGGCATGGCCAGCAAGAATCACCAACACGATTGCCATGCAATCAACCGGCTTTCCATGCGGACGAATATGCAGGGAACGTGAACCGGGACGACAAGAACAGCTATCAGCGGAACAGCAGAGCAGACTATGCATCCGTAAGGCCATTAGAACGAACAGACACTGATTGTTTGCAGACACTGTCCGAAGTGACGAAGGCTTGATCAAGAACCATTGGACGAGGGTCTCTTTGGGACAGAACAACAAGGATTGTAACCGGCTCAGTGGATCTGGAGCACAGGAACGTGGGGCTTCTGGTGATAATTTTTGCCCGACACGGGCAAGGATTTCCTTCCGGTGCTGAGCTCTTACAGGACGGTAGCATTTGGAAACTTCACAGACTTCCACGGGTCATAGTCTTGCCAACCTACGCCCGTGACGGGTGGGCTGTTTGCCCTTGGCTTCAAGAAGTAAACGCCCGAAGAGAAAGAAGAGATCGAGAGAGATCCCAAGTGTGTGAGCCCTAAGTCGTGCGTCGCCGATGTGCCAATGTGCACAGAGGGCGGTCTGGCGGTCAGTGTAGCTCAACGGTCTTCATGTTTCACGAAAGACAGAGGAAACACAAAGACAGCTGGGGAAAGAACGTATGGTGTTGGCATGTTCTGAGGGCTGTGAAAAGCTCGACCTGGACTCACCGGACCCCCGGCAAGCAGCCTTGATACCCAGTGGCTCTCTGAAGTAGCGGGCCAGAAGAAGCAATGCTCAGGAACAAAATTGGCGATGGAAGGAGGTGGCGTGTATGTTTGATAGACAGAAGAGCCCTCCTAGACTTCAAGATAACATGGGTCTGCAAGCGGCCGATAGGCGAGGTGAACCGCAGTTTCGGAAATCCCACAGCGGTGTCTCATTGCTCCGCTATCGGACAGCTTGGTCTCAGCATTGTCCAAGTTTCGTGCGTCGAGCACGGATGGAGTGCGCCGTGGAAGCACTGGGCACCGGTGGGATCGTGGTGAGAGGCCCTTAAAGCCACCAGCGGAATGATACACACCTTCCAAGATTGAGTTTAGGAGGTGGCCCGTCCTTAAGTTGACAAGCCGGTCAAGTGCCATAAAACGATAAGAGTAATCTCAAACGAGAGCCCAGGTTTTGTCAAAAATGAAAAGACAGGAGTAGTAAGGTGTCCATTGTCAAACATGAAAAGAGTAGGAGTAGTAATCTGTAACCTGTGCCCATTGTGACAGGGGGGTGGGGGCTAAGCGGCTAAGCGGTTCTCCGTGGCCAGGGCTGAAGCGGAGGCCGAGGCGCAGGAGACGTGAACTCAGTGAACTTCACCTCTGATGGTAGCTGCGAGGAGAAGTCGGGGGACTAAAGCTGTAGCGAGGTGTACCAGTGTACCATGCTCTTCCCACAATTGAGGGTGTGTTTCTGGAAAACGGACAGATCTTGTCAGGGTAGACCGGCTTCAGCCTTCTTTGTCGTCGCTGAAAACAGTGACAACTACCGCTTTAATGCTGCGCCCGCAAAGCGCCATGGCCAGGGAGATGCAAGCACGTGCCCCGCATGCGTCAGCCTACAAAGAGCCTTCTTCACTCGGAACTTGCATTCCATTGGCTGAAATCAATATGTGCTAACACAGCTTTGGTGACGAGTCTCGAAGGGAAGTCACCAAGAATCTGCAGCACAAGTTGCTGCCGGAGGTGGGATACTCTCAGGTTCAAGCAGTGGCTTGTTTCACCAGATTGAGACATACCGAAACTTGGAAGATTCCAGACTCTCAGTTGGAAGGTGCCACGACTGTCCAGTTTCGGTTTCTCAGACTGCGCAGATCTGCACGCGCTTCGTTCGCTTGATGGCGAGTGAATGCACGCGACCTCTCTATGCAAATGCAAAATCCGGCTTGGCATGGTTGAGATGTGAATTGATATGAGTTTGTGTTCCGAGTCGACATAGATCATGATTGTCCTATCGAGGCACCGACGATTGGTGAATGTGCATGCGCTGTCCTACAGCTTGAGTACAATCAACCCCCGCACACTCTAGGGAGCAGTCTAGAAATCAGCACACTTTTACAATGCCGCATTGTCTTTGACGTTTGGCTTCGGAGACTGCTGTGTGTCCGACACTTAGGAGGATTTCTTGCATGTCGAAGTGTCTGTAAGTTGTTTCGCTCATGAGAAGCATAGACGGATGGGTGCCGCCGCTTTGGAGCACTGCAGGCAGTCGGGGGATGTCGGGGGTCACCATCTTCTGGTAGACACCGTTTTTCGCAGCATCTAGATTTGAGGGAAGGAAGTGCTTACATTGCATATCTGTAAATCTCCCGCTGATGTGAGTAGAGCAGGTTTCATCGACAAGCGCACTGGGTGCCGTTTGCACCTTCACCGCCAGCGGGATCCTGCAAGGCAGATCAAAGTCCAAAATTTAGAGCCTAGACCGTGCACAGACGGCTTTGTGCATTGCGAACGGCAGCTGAAGCGCTTCGTGGTCAGCTCTTGCGGCTTTGTATGCTCATGCTGATGCTGTCAGATCATGTGAGACCTGATTGTATGCCTGCCGTGTTGCACAGGGGGCTCAGCAGGTGTACTACAGCCATGGCTCAGGCATCGGATTGCAAGCGTAGGGAGACTGATGCAGCCCGGGTTAGCGTGCCAGGCTTGGTCTATGCTGGCATTGGCAAGCAGGTGGCAGGAATCTGAGCTTTGAATCTTGACGTAACGATAAGAGATCTGTCGACCTGTAGAGAGGTGGCGCACAGTGCAGCCACAGGGCAGCCACGTCACACCTACGAAGGTCCCATGAGCTGGGTAAGTAGAATTGGTCATGTCTTTTGGCGAAGCTCCCATGAGCAGCCACAGTGAAGCCAACACCGTAGTCCTCAGCACCGCTCTTAGACTTGTCTCCCGAGTCAGATTGTCGCTGCTTGCAAGCAGTAGTTGCCCCAGTGCAAGCATCGCCGCGCAGGCCATGTTGGTCCGGTGACTTGTCTGATGGTGACTTTCTGTCCACACCTCCAGTGACCGCAGCTGAGTCTCCATCCGAGAGAGTTCATCCCAAGTTTCTGCTGTTCGTAAGTGCCTTCACGGATCAGGCGATGTCCTCCTCAGCGGATCGGTGGACAGCACAGTGGCTGGGATTCCTTAGTGAGCTCTTTTGTGCCATAGGCTGGCTGGTTTGTCATTTGTGCCCTTCTCGACGTGTGAACCAAGATCAAGCACTGGGTGCTAGGTCCCTGGCCTTACAGAACGTCTTGCTGCATCCTTTCGTTTGGCAAGTCGTTAGAGCTGTTTGGGCAAAGTTCTGCTTGAGGTCATCGCCAGCCGAGGACCTTTGTCGGACACACCGGAGCAGTCCAAGCTGGCATGTTGTGTTTTGTCCGAGAGTCGCTCGGCTTTGCTGTGGACTGGCTGGCTGGCAGGTTTGGGGTTTAGCAGCGAGCTCGACGTCCCTCTTCAGCTGCTCATCGGATTGCACTATCAGGTGCATTTTGCGAAGCTCCAGCAAAACAGATCGTTCCAACCATCAACGGTTGACGCCAGGCAGTGGTGCCGCAGAACCTGCAAGGAACTGATGGTGCTGCGAGGCCCCGTCTCGCATGATATCCCCCACCCTTAACTAAATGCCTCATGGGGGTACCTAAGGTCCAGTAGGCAATTGGATTGTGCATTATCGCCTGTCGGGAGCAAAACCGCAGAATAATGCCCAGTCGGACGTGGAAGGTCCCATTATGCATTTACTGGGGTGGTGTGTAATAGTATAGGTGACAGTAGATCGCATATTCATTCACTGCTCCCCGTATCCTTTTCTTTTATGATGTGAAGAAACAAGGGCAGCAAAAAGAAAGAGAGAAGAAAGAGAGAGCAGGTTTCGACGATGCGTGATTCTGCTGCGCACCCGGCGACGACTTTTTGATCACAGGTACCACGGTTCATGGGTTGCTCTCGTTTTGTGGCCGCAGAGCAAAACACAGCATAGCAGATTTCCTGACACGACACGAGCAGATCGCAGGCATCAGCAGAGTGCATCATTGTATATAGGATTTTAAGCCATTCTAACGGCATTGGGGGAGGGGTCTGTAAGCCACTATGACGGCATTTGGGTTTCTAGTATAATAGGGCAGGGCGCGAAGGAATATTAACCATAAGCCACTAGTACGGCAACGGCACGGGATTTTGCGCAACCCAGCCCACACTTAAGCAACAAACTAGGCAACCTCAGGAATCTCATGCTGGGTAGGACATAATAAGAAGCATGGCTCCAAAAAATCGGCTGGTGCCGGCGGCCTCGGCGCCGGCGGATGCTCCTCGTTTCGACGTGTCTCCTCCGACGGTGTGTGCCAGCCCCTCAACATATGCGGCTGGTTTGGGACCCTTCGCTGCAGTTACATTTGGCTCGCCCAGGCTGTGGCAGGTTGCGGGCATGACTTGTTGGCACCGCTGTGGGACACCAATCTGCGGGTTTGGCGATGCAGGCCTTTTTGTGCTCCGTTCGTGCGTTGCATCCACATTTCCGGGTCTCCCTTGAGCAGATGCTCCGCGCTCTTCATGTCAGAGAATGGCCAAATGACACGAGCCAGTCATCACGATCATTGGACGCCGGGGGCTCGACATTGAGTTCCTTAGCCGTTTGCTGCACAGTTACTCACAGTTACAATGGAGCCTTCTGCGAGGCCTGGAGGCCGAGTTCCCTGGATCAAGAGCACCCGACCTCCCGCTGCCGCAGCCCTTGAGAGAGCTCGGCACGAGTTTCGGGACTGGGAATTTTGTGGGGCATTCTGGATGTGTTGCATTTCGCAGGAGCAGCAGAAGCGGAAGGATGCATCGGAGGCGGGGGTCGTGACATTGCTGCGGACCGGTTCGGATCTTTGAACATTTCTCGATGAATCTCTGTTGCTAGCCCCCCGCACCTGATGCTGCGAGCACTGTGGCACATGCACAGGACGGGTTCTTGTTGATCAGAATCCTTGGTTGGTGTTTGTGTGGGTGTTGCAACCTTGTCGGCGAAGGATGCATTGGTACCTGCACTACAGGAGGAGGCCCTTTATCCTGTGTTCTGTTGCGGGATGAGACCATCCTTTGTCAATGTGGCAGGAGTCTCCATCGACAACCGCATTGCAACCGCGAGCAGCTTCAGCTTTGCCACTGAAGGAGTTTTGCTTTGTTTCTTCTTTGCTTCGGTGTTACATGAGCCCATATGAGCCCCGGACATGCCAGGACAAGGACCCGCTCGAGAACATCACACCTTTGAAGGCCCGGGCCTCATCGCTGCGGTTGGTTTCCTTAACTCACGAACGCCTGAGGACATTGCGACTTCACATGCCGAAGCGGCCCAGGCTTGGCTCTCAAGCGCATGGCAGGCCGGAGTTTGATGCCCGAACACCTGAGGTTGCAACCAACACGTTGGCTTCGCCCTCGACCGGAGTGCGGGCCCTTCCTGCTGAGTGCATCTGCTTCATGCTTCGGTGTGTGTGCGTGTGTGTGTGTGTGTGTGTGTGTGTGTGTGTGCTTAGTGTGTGCATCTCGACGATTTTTACCGTGAGCCCGGAACATGCCAGGAACGTGATCTGTCCGAGAACTTCACGCCTTTGGAGGCTGGCTCGCATCACTGGGTGCTGTGCTTGAGTTTGTGGCGACTGCAGCACGGAGAAGGATTTAGGCCGTGGTGTTTGATTTTGTTGGCAGGCTTCCCGCTCGCTGGGGATCGACGAGCGGGGCGTCCGGGCCTAGATCCTATTTGCCCGGGAGAAACTAGAATGGCTCACTGATGTGGGAGGTTTCTTCTTCTTTGGTTCCGGTTGTCTGGGCCCGAGCTCAAGTTGGCGTGTGCCGGTTGATGCGACACCCTGAACCCTAGGCCCTCACAAACCCCCAATACGGAACACTCGTGCCAGGATCCATCTGTTGGGGACAAGCCTGCCGAGTCGCAGGTGCGCCCCAGTTTGTTGGGGTTCGGGAACTGGGGTTTTAGGGTTAGGGCTTATGGTGCTGTGCTGGACTTTGTGCAGGATCCGTTGAGTACGGGCTTCTGAGTGCGTCACTTCCTGGCGACAGTAGTGCTGTGCAGGATCAGTTGCTAACCGTGCGAAGTGACTGCTCAAGACGGCAGCGCATGCTTGATTGCCATCATGGATCAGTCTGAATCCTAACTGTAAACACATGGCCTACTGAGCCTACTGATCCCAGGAACTTCTAACTTCTGGCCCATGGATCCTTTGTCAGTACGAAGCCAAACTGTGAACTTATGGCTTAGATCCTCTAGGTCGGAGAAATCATGAAATCTGCTGTGTAGGTTTGACTTACATTCGGATACGTAAATCCTTTAACATGTCGTCGTGAGCGGAGCCTCGCCATCGCATCCTGGCTGCTTTGATCTCTGCCTTCGTCGTGCAGCTGCATAGGATTGGGTTGCTCCCATGAAGAAGCCTGCTGCAAAGTCGAAGGCGATGAAGGCCATGAAGGCCAACAAGGCCATGAAGGTCATGAAGGCCAGCAAGGGCATGAAAGCCACAAAGGGCCCCATGAAAGCCATGAAGGCCAGCAAGGCGATGAAAGCAATGGCTGCGATGAAGGCCAGCGAGAAGGCCATGAAGGCCATGAAGTCCATGAAGGCCAAGACGGCGATGATGAAGAAGCCCGGCCTGCAGAATGACAGGTCCGAGTGGCGGACGAGGGGGCTGACCCCTTCTATCAGCCCCCAGCACAAGGAGGTTGTGATGGTCTCGGCGCATGATGGCCGTGTGATCTGCGACCACTCGGTGCACAAGAACCTGACTCTGGATGGCCTCATTCGTCAGTTCGAGGAGCCCGGCTGTGATGGCATCCCTGGGGTCGTGACTGGCATTGCCGTGGCGGTCCAGTTCATGGATGATGACAAGAAGAAGGACGATGACGGAGGAGATGATGACAAGAAGAAGAACGATGACGCAGGAGAAGAAGGCGATGATGATGACAGCAGCAGCACCGAGACATCGTCTCCAAGCAGAAAGCAGAGAGAGTGGGCGGCTGGTTGCCGTCCGCTGTTGCGGGTGTGAGCGAGGGATGCGGTAGCACATGGAACAACACACCGCACAGCACACAGCACACACACACACACAGACACAGACACAGACACAGACACGCACACACACACGCACCATAGCAGCAGCACACACACACAACACACACAGCTCACACACAGCCACACAGCCACAGCACACAGCATGACACAGCAGCGGCAGCAGCAGACACACACACGCACAGAGGGGTGAGTTTCACATCGGGGCGGGGCTGTTGTGTGCCGGGTAGTTCTAAGCTAACAGGATAATAACTAAGGGCTCGCAGCCTAGGCATAGGCCGGGATATAGCGATTGCGATGTTGGGGCGAAGGTGCACACAGCAGCCTCGAGCCAGTCGTTCTTTCTTTTGTCTTGCTCGGAAAACATTGGTCCTGGCGTGCTGTAGGGGTTGGTCCTAGGTCCTGTAAGCCTCTTAAGTTTCCCTCCGAAGCCCAAAACCCGAAACCTGGAAACCCCAGCCCAAAGCCCCAACTCCTAGAACCCCAAACACCACATCCCGAACCCCAAACCCAAAACCCAAAACCCAGCCCGAAAACCCCTGAGCCCGAACCCCAGAGCAAAAACCTCGAACCTCGAACCCCTGCAAACCCCTCGTCCGGGTCCTGCGTCGGCTGCGATCCCCATTGCTTGGACCTCGTGCAGCTTCTCGTAGTGCAAGCTGGCGGCTATACCGTATGTGATCAGGATGGTCTGGAAGGTCCGGTGCCAGTGGCCTGGACCCTGGTCAGCTTCTGCTAAGTTCCGGATTTGGGCTTCAGTTACTGTCAGGTCCCGGCACATCCTGCTCTGCCAGACGTGCCATTGGGACACATGGCCGCTGCCTTGGACTCGTTTGTTTTGAAGGGTACTTCGGGCATCTTGGCACAGGTGTCCTCTGATGCACCCTCGAAGCCTGGTGTCTGGGCCTTGAACCTGGGTGCTGGACTTGGATGAACCCATCTCCCGTTGCAGGCTTTGGATGGCCAGGTTGGGGATCCCACGAGCGAGGACAAGGTCCTTATCTCGGCCAGTTCTTTCTGTGTCGGGGCTTTTGTTGTGGGCCTGGTCTGTGTCCGACTGAGGTTGGGACAGATGATCTTCGTGTGCCCTTGGAGGTCCGTCCGCGCTTGCTATCGTGGTGCTGCTTGCTCCCCTGTCCGGTAGCTCTGCTCTTCCCAGGCACTGGAAGCTCCAGTGGATGCATCGCTTTGCATGGCATTACTGGACAAGGCCTGGCAGTACTCAGTAGGCCGTTGTTGCTTGTCTGCACTCCCGTGGATCTGTTGTTCTCAGGAACAGGAATCTCCGCTGGATCGGGACAAGGCCGAGCATCATCAGCTCGTGCTTGATCGTCTTTGCCCCTGTCCGGTATCTCTGCCCTTCCAAGGTGCTCGAAGCTCCAGTGGATGCATCGCATGCCATGGCATTGCGGGACAAGGCCTGGCAGCAGCCTGTTGTTGCTTGTCTCCACTCCCGTGGCTCTCTTGTCCTCAGGAACAGGAATCTCCGCTGGATCGGGAAACAAGGCCGAGCATCATCAGCTCGTGCTTGGTTGTCGTTGCCTGCCCACTTCCCTTTCCTCGTGCCTCCTTCAGGCTGGTGATGGGATGATCGAGGACATGCTCAGGGCGGCTTGATAGCAGCTCTCCCTTGTGCGTGTGGTCTGAGAGTGTGTGTCTGTGTGCCTCGGATCGTTGCTCTTGCTGTGCCCAGGATAGCTCCGTGGATGTGGCCACGAGCTTGGACAAGGAGCTGCTTTGGATTGCTTTCGAGTGGCCGCTCTGGCATCTCCAGACTCTAGGTTGCATGCACCTCACAGGAACAGGTTTCTGCGTATAGCACGTTCTGGCTCGAGATGGCGACCCCACCTAGAAAGCATCGTCTGTGGGATGCAGCCTCACCTGTGAAGAAGAGGCGTGTGAAGGTGGCCCACCTCTCCGTGGACCTCTACATCCAGTGGGGACCGGTGGGACCTAGGTCGCCATCGTGCTCCTCTCCGTCCCCAAGTCCACAGAAGGAGTCGGAGAAGGGCTTGTCGCCAGATCCGAAGATCATGGAGAAGCAGTCAGCTACGACTCCAGGACCAGAGGAGCCGAGGCAGAGCACCGAGAGGAAGCCCAAGTATCCATGATGCGGTTCGTGCACTTTGCTGACCTTTCCTGATGGCCTTCGTATCTGGGAGAGGGGGGTTATCCTAGAGACGTTCCTGGCCGAAATCCACGAAAGCGAAAAGGTGGCAGAGCAAGTGGTGTGCATGAACTACATGGTGCTGCACTGAACTGCCCTGTCGTATTTTGTCAGGACACCCGAAGTGCTCCCCATGACGGAGGCCAGGGTTCCTTGGGTTTTTTCTTCACTTGGTGGTCGGCTTCCGATGTAGGCTTATCTTGGTCAGGAGCTGAGGCTTCTGCAGCTTCTCCACCGGTGCCTCGCGAGGTGGCTGTAGCAGCTTGTTGCACAAGTCGCACATGTTCAGACTCCATTTCATCACTGTGTCAGGGTCCTAGCAACCTGGCTTCTTGCAGGATCAGACCGATGAGACAGCCGGTTCACCCGAGGCTTGGAATCCACATCGTCTCTTTGCTATCTGCTATGTAAGGGTGTACGAGCACAACAAGCCACCTTCCCAGGCTTTGGTCCAGGGAGAAGCCATCAAGCGAGAGATCACATGGCCTGACGTCGTGATCTCGGTCGGGGACGAGATCATGCATTCAGTTATATTCAGTTTCTGTAAGGTACCGTAGGTACAGGGTATAGTTTTTTTCTACATGTACAGGAATGTACCTGTACCCTAGATGGGATCTTGCTGCTACTTCCTAGCAGCAGCACAGGCCACGGGAAAGTGCATAATCCAGGGTGGGAAGGTCGGCAGTGCATCGGTATTTACGGGGCGGGGCTGGGCCCTGGGGCTCTGCATTATTCGTTTCTCGTGCTGCCTAGCCAGAGTCGGGATCTTGCTGCTACTTCCCAGCAGCAGCACAGGCCACGGGAAAGTGCATAATCCAGGGTGGGAAGGTCGGCAGTGCATCGGTATTTACGGGGCGGGGCTGGGCCTGGGGCTCTGCATTATTCGTTTCTCGTGCTGCCTAGACTGGACTGGAACTAGTGTCGGTGTCAGATGGTGTCAGTACTGTTCCCAGTATATATACTGGTAGTAGGACTAGTATAGCCTCCTTCCACCAGTCGGGATCTTGCTCCCAGCAGCAGTACAGGCCACGGGAAAGTGCATAATCCAGGGTGGGAAGGTCGGCAGTGCATCGGTATTTACGGGGCGGGGCTGGGCCTGGGGCTCTGCATTATTCGTTTCTCGTGCTGCCTAGACTGGACTGGAACTAGTGTCGGTGTCAGTACTGTTCCCAGTATATACACTGGTAGTAGGACTAGTATAGCCTCAAGTACGCTTCCGAGTCTGGCGGCAGATGCTCCAGACGATCTTCTTCCGACAAGCTTTCCCACACATCTGGCTTGCCTACTTCATGCTGAATCTCGTAGTAGTAGATGTAGGAAGCGATTTCTTCAAAGGTTTCGTCAACAAAGGTTTGCTGGTGCGTGCCGGCAAGGAAAGGAAAGATGTGCTGCCCGACATCAACATCCCCCTCCCACTTGATTCGCCAGATTCTTTGTAGCTCAACCTGGAAGCGCTGCCAAGGCATCCGCAGCGAGGCCGGCAGCACCTGGAAAATACAGTACTGGTATGTACTAGTCCGACCACTCATACAGGCAATGCAGCAGCCGAGTGTATTCGCATCGCCAGCCCCGCCTGTGCAGCGGCTATGACCGGCTCCTGCTTGATTTGCTGGTCTGAGGCCTCGTCATCCAAGGCACAGTCAGCACAACACAAACCAGCAGGATCCCAAGAGAAGTGAATAATGCAGAGCCCCAGGCCCAGCCCCGCCCCGTAAACACCGACGCACCGCCGACCCCCCACCCCGGACCACAGTCTAGGCAGCACGAGAAACGAATAATGCAGAGCCCCAGGCCCAGCCCCGCCCCGTAAATACCGATGCACTGCCGACCTTCCCACCCTGGATTATGCACTTTCCCGTGGCCTGTGCTGCTGCTGGGAGCAAGATCCCGACTCTGGTGGAAGAGCGCATTGGCACAGGCTGATGGAGTCGTCCGGTCTGCTAGTGTACTTGCTGCGTGATCGCAGCCAGCCTCTTCCCGAAGAAAGTGTATTGGACGAGACCTCTAGACATGTGCTGGAGCTGATCAGGACGAGGAGCCCAGATGCTTTGCGGGTTGTTCCGGTGGCTGCAGGACACTTAAGCCTGGCAGTCTGTAAAGACATCGAGAAGACGCTGCTGGCCCCCTATCCTCCAGGACCGCCTGTCTTTGGTGAGCAGCTGCACTGGGGCTGTCTGCTCCACCGGTTGGTAGCCATCGCACGTGCAAGCTTCGGCGAGGGCTGGCCCAGGCATGTGCTCATCGCTGCCGCATCCGCTGTCCAGTCGCAGGATCTCTTCCAACTTCAGTCAACAGCTCAAACATGGCTGGCAGTTGTGTCTACAGACACGCACTGGGCTCTTGCATGCGGGTCGCGAGGACAGGAGCTTGTTCGTCTGTACGACGGGCTGCAGTGTCACGAGATCCGCAACCTGTCGACTGCCCTTGTTGTGCATGTAGATCAAGTCTGGGGCACCAAGCAGAGGGTGGAGGCTGCTGGCTGTCTGCCGCAGAAAGATAGCTGGTCCTGTGGGCATCGGCTTCTCTTGATAGCAGCGTCCTTACTTTCTCAGGTCCAGTCCGGAGAAGCATGGGAGGATGTGAAGGTTCCATTCTCATGTTGCACTGCAAAGGCCATTCGAGAGTTGTGCAACACTGCTGATTCGGAGGAACCCACAACCCCGAAAGCCAAGCGGCCAAAGCGCGAGATGGATGCAGTGTCCAGCCCGCCAACAGTTGCCAAACGCCCCGCACCTTCGAGGCTCCAGTCAGACGACAACGATGACGGGGAGGAGGAGGAACCTTTGTATGTCGGCAGCAAGCGGGCCAAAAGCGAGCAGGATTCGCTGGTCGCCGTGAAGCAGGAGAAGGTGGATCAGGAAGGGCAAGAGGCCATGGCACTTGCCGAGGCGCCTGCCTCAGCAAGTCGAGTGACATCCAGAGCGACGAAGAAGAAGGCGGATAAGTCCAAGGGCCTGGAGCTCGTGACTGCCAGGGGCATCAAGCATAGCCACTTTGTGTCCGTGCACAACAAGAACAAGGATGCGCTTGGCAAGGATCACTGGACGGACTTCCTCGTCTGCATAGCACGAAAGGGCTGCATGACATGCACCAGCTGCAAGCAGCTACGGTCCTCGGTCACAGTGTCCCAGCCGCTGGCTTTGGTGCCAGTGCCGGAGGTAGAAGCCGACGAGCCCGTCCTCCACACGAAACTTGTTCGACCAGGCAAGGGCAAGAAGGCTGCCACATTGGCCAGCTACCTCGAGAAGGAGCGGGAGGGCGTGTATACCCATGTGTCTGATGGCTGTCTGTGGTGGTGCACGGTCTGCGAGTGCGAGGTTGCATGCCGACGGGACACACTGAGTGGGCGGCACAAGATCTGGACACGCGAAAAGTCTGACAGGCACCAGAAGGCCCTCCGGAGCAAGGACACCGGCGAGGCGGTTTTGTGTCAGGGTTATCGATTGGGGTCCGGAGGCCACTGCATGGACGAGGTCGTGGACTCGTGTGCCAAGTGGGCCTCAACAGGAATGATCTAGGGCAAGGTGGTGAGCAAGACCCCTCCGCTCATCTCTCGTGTGCAGCTTGCCTGGAAAGGCGAAGATCTCATTATGCGGCATGAGGCATGCTCTGGCAAGCGTGCCGATGGAAAGACAGGCCTCTGCAAGGAATGCCTGAGCATGGCACGGTCCAAGCAGCTCCTGAACGACATCGTCAGCTGGGTGGTGAAGGTGGACCTGGCTCGCTATGCGAGGTGTCTCTGTCACGGGCTGGAGGAGGAGCATCGCAACTTCGTGGAGTACCTGATGTCTCGGGATTACTACAATTCCAGTGCGTGTGCGAAGGCTGAGATCGATGCCGTGCTTGCGGCAAGCTCACCCTTGGCAAAGCTCCAGGTCCTGAAGCGAAAACTCGATTCGATACCGCACGCGAAGCGGACGCAGGGTCTGCAGATGTGGTTGGACCAGGCACTCGAAGGCCTCCAGCTCCAAGGGGGGGAAGAATCCGAAAAGAGAGCATACAAAGCTCTCTGTAGCTCCTTCTGTGAATCTGTAGCGGCAAAGGTAGCATCTGGCGGGCTCGATGCCAACAGAGTCGTCAAGTGCCTGCTGTACTCCTTCCTCGACCAGCAGTCTCGCATCGATCGAGGCAAGGAGGATCGGCTCTGTACGTCCAAGTACTTGGACGACGAAACACTCCAGGAGGTATGGTTCCGGCTGGGTGTGGGAAGTCAGACCCCTGCAATCCTCCGCCTTTTCGGTGCGAACCCGCGAGCTGTGCCCAAAGTGGACTTCCTGAAGGACTGTTTGCCGCAGTTCTACCTGGCCTTCCTGGACAACTCCAAGCTTCAGAAGAACTGTGCCAACTGTCTGGATCTTCTTAGCTGCAGCGGGGCCCGGGACTTCTTTCTCGCCATTGACGAGTCCAACTACAAGCCGACCTACCAGGTCGTCGGGGGTCTCCTGAAGGATGCGCCGAGGACCATTGTTGGGGGGCACTACTGTGCGACGGATGACTGGAGCCAGCTGCAGAAGGCCGAGCAGCTGCCTGAGGCCAAGCAGTCCCACCTGGGTCTCTTCTGCATCCTGGCACGGAGTGACACGCTGAAGCATGCCTACTGTGTCAACGTGACACCGATGCCTCACGGCAGCTCAGGCAAGTCCCACCAAGTGCTCGACATAGTTGGACGGTGCCTGTCTGCTTCCGGACGGCGGAGCTGCCAACAGCTCGGTGCTGCATGCGGTCCTCGGTTTGGCCAGCGAGCAGGAACTCCAGGACACAGAGTTTTTCAGCCGATGCAGTACGGTCAAGTTGGACATCCATCGGCTGCTGCCTTTCGGGCGCTTGGTCTTCCAGAAGGACCGGACCAAGCACACCATCTTCGGCTCCCTCGACCTCTGCCACTTGATGAAAAGGATGGCCCACCATTGCTTCAGCGGCTCACGTATTGTACACTTCGACGAGTGGTTGGTGGACTACAGCAACTGTTTGCAGTTGGGAATGCCGGTCAAAGCCTTCATCTTCAGCGACACACAGTCAGACAAGCAGGCCTTCCTTCGGCTCAGCCCTACCTACACTTCCACATGCTGGAACAGCTTCGGCCTCCACACCGCCCAGTACATCTCCGCTTTGGTGTCAAGTGGCTGGGAGGGGGCCACTGGGCTCTCCACTCGGCAGCGCTTCGGGAACCTGGCATCTGCGTACATTTTACTCCTCTGCAACCTCATGCTCGCAAAGTGTAATTGGGGCACCGACTGGGAGATGAAGTACCTCCCCTTGTGCACGGTGCGCAACTTATGCTACGGGTGCGCCCTGGGCATGTCCCTCTGTGTCTTTTGCGAATCTGCAGTGCGGCCTTGTGCCTTCGCTGAGAAGGTGGCCGAACAATTCTTTAGCCGCATGAAGGCAGGGTACCGGGGAACGGCTTCACTGGCCGACTGTCTACTTGGGATCCAGAAGGAGCATCTCAAATTGTCAGGGTTGTCGCTTGAGGTTCCGGAGGAGTCGTCGATGCCGCTTGACTTGCCAACGGCCAACAAGTTGTTTGAGAGAAGCTTCAAAGAGGCGATTCGGTTCCAAACCTGGGTGTCGCGCAACAGGAAGCCGGATGAATTGGAGAAGCAGTTCCTCCTGTGGTTCCAGTCCGAGGGTCAGGCTTTGCTGACTAAGGGACGGGCCGAGGATGACGATCTTGACAAGGAGGGTGAGGATGAAGATGATTTGCCCGGTGCCGAGTGCGATGATCTGGAGGGCGATGGGGTGCCCGACGAGGCTATGGCTCTGCTGCAGGATGTCGAGGACCACATCATTGCCAAGGCCCAGCTGGAGGATTTGGCTTCCAGCTCGGCTGTGGAGGCCGAGCATGCCGAGGATGGCGAGGAGGGCACCGATGACGAGGAGATCGGCCCTGACGTTTCTGTGGTATCGCCAGCTGGTGACAAGGACCAGCACACTCAGGAGTGCAAGCTGACCTTGCATGGCCTGGTCATGCTGTGTGACGACATCGAGACGTTTTCCATGGAGACCAAGGAGGCCACCCAAGCCGAGATGTGCCTGCAGCGGCAACAACAGTTGCAGCCTCTGATGCGGGCACTTGTTCTCAAATGCCGGGAACGTGAGGGTTACATCTCCAAAGCTCAGCTCCGCGGGGGAGTCAAGCTGCAGAGCAGCTACCACAGGCTGCAGCACGAGCTTGCTCTGGCTCGTGCAGCCTGCCAGACTGAAGGCAGCCGCCAATCTCGATTAGCGACCTGGCGGACGACGCAGAAGCATTGCATCGCTGAGGTTCAGAGCAAGAAGGCTGCCGATCAAGACATGCCACTGCTGGACCTGACGCATTACAAGCCTGCCAATCATCCGGAGTATCAGGTCATCCTGTTTGTGGACGAGCACAAGAGTTTGCAGATAGGCATGGTTTGTTCCGTGTGGCGAGGGGCTGTTTTGAAGAAGCAGGCCCAAGCGGGCAAAACCAGTGCAGTGACTCGCAGGATGCGTGCGACGAAGCCCGCCACTGGACCGCTGCCATCGAGTTCATGTGCGAAGATCGCGGTGACCCTGCTCACCAAGTGTGCTGATCAAGCCTTCTTTGCATGCAGCCTCTCCCCGACGCTGCTCCTGGATCCTGTCGGCAGGGCCGTCGGCGAGATCAAGTGCAACTGGTCCAAGTCCAAGCCGGATCGCTGGTTGGTGCAGCTTGACAAGGCGGCTTTGGAGGCTTGGGATCACTTGTCTAAGAATAAGGAGCTGCTGAACAGCAAGCTGCATGCGGAGCCAATCAAGGGTGTGTCCAGCACGACGACGGCAGAGATTGCAGGCCCGTCCAAGATCTTGAATTACAACGATTTCAGCCGAACCTTGTCCGGCACAAAACAGATCGAGGCGTTCATGGGGCACCTGCCCCGGCTCTACAAGGAGCAGGCGGAGCTCGAGATCCTTGACGAGTCCGGGAAGTTCCTGGCCCATGGGGTGGCTTACAGCTGGGCCGCAATTTGTAGGCAGGTGCCGGAGTGGTTCGACTTGACCTGCGAGGGGAAATCAACCAAAGAGTACGGAAAATCCGTGGTCAGCAAATTTCTCCGGGTGATACCAGGTGAGGCAGGCTTCCGAAAGCGACTGGACGACTGGGTCCGAGACATCGTCAAGCTTGCCCAGCCTGTGCCGGGCGCATGGATCATCCCGCATCGTGTTTCTCAGCTGGCTTCACCGAAAACTGTTTGAATGCCCAGGCTCGTGGTCTGAAGCACTGCATGGCGCATCCGAAGGCGCCTAGCTACTCGCTTCACGGGTGCATCTTCCGAGCCACCCCCTGCATGCTAAGGCCGTCGCCGCAGTGCTTCTTCTTTGGGGTTTCAGGGTCTGCCGCTCAGCACTCCAGACAAACACTGACTTCTGCTAATTCTCACGTACCATGTGCCACGAGGCTGCTGCTGCTGCTACGCACAGGCCGAGAAGAGCTCGGCAGACCAGCAGATGCAGCACCCAGGGGCGGACAAAAAGCCCGGAACAGCAGCTGCGCAGAGCGAGCGAGAGAGAGGGAGAGAGGGAGAGAGCAAGCAAGGCAAGTGTACATGTGTGTGCATGTCAGCAACCCCACGATATTGCATAATCCAGCTCTTGAATCCCTCCAAGGCCCCGCATAATGCATAATCCGGTGGGTTGGACGTCGAGAAATGCATTAGGCATTTTCCGAGGTGCCCCAGCCCCAAAGAGTAGGGGATCGCATGATGGAATCAAGTACGAACAAAATGAGCTGGCTGCGGCATGTACCAAACGAGTTCTCAGGACATGCCGGCGCTGTCATGGCCTTTGATCGCAGCAATGTGGCGAAACGAGTAGTTCTGAATTCAGTGGACAAGGGGACCGACTGGACAGTGCTGCCTGCCGTTCCTGTGCTCAGGTGCAGCAACTGCTGGTCTTGGAGGGCATTGTTTGCAGCGGTGCCAGCCTTGATCGTAGCATCACACGGTGAAAACTTTGTAGTGACAGGGAGGATGTGACAGAAGGAGTAAGAGGTAGCTTACCATTGCAGGACGATGAGTTGCGCACATTCCTCTCTTTGGGTTGCTTGTAGAAGGTAGCGCGAACGCAGGCATATTGTTTCGGGAATGCGCGGTGTTTAGGTTCCGAGGATGGCGTCCTCAAAGTCTGGGGAGAACATGGCCAGCTTTTGCCGGAGCCCACGAACCACGGCGATACTGAAGTTCACCAAGAAGACTTGTTTGTGCTGCCTCTTGTCGAGGTGCAGCCTGGAAGATCACGAGGCTTGAGTCATCAATCTCAAGTCTGATTCAGGTAGATGTGTGGCGCCTCCCTTCAGGATGGCATCACGTGCATGCTTTGCGCGGCATCGGAGGACGCTGACACCAGTACCAGTACTTTGAAGGCAGCTTTTCCATGCCTGCAAATAAACCTTGCAGAACATCATCACCGGCTCTCGGGATTGCACCCTGAAGAGCTGGAACGTGAAGGTCGCAACCGGGAATTCGGTACAGTAGCGTGTGTTGAATATCAAGTTGTTTCGGGCATTTCGCAATCGGAAGATGGAATGACGACGGTATGCCTGTCTTCAGAGAGCACTTCAAGATTTTGCGTGCTTGGTCGTGCTCGTGACGAACCCTTCTCGGCAGCTTTCGAACTTTTTGGATTTTTGGGGTTGGCAGCATGGGCGATTGCGTTGGCCCGAAGCCCAACATTATCGTGCGTCATGGAGCCATGCAGCCTGCCTTTGCAGGCTGGCAAACTGATCGACACTATGTACGGCCACACGGACTGGGTGACGTGCCTGCTGGAGGTGCGGGTTCTGATGAAACGAATCTGCCGCATCAAGCTGGAGAGTAGGAGCTGTGGGCCTTCCTATGGTCCTATCACTTCACAAGCGAGGTGGAGGATTCTTTGTGGTCGGGGTCGCGGGACACCACAATCAAGCGCTGGAGACTCAGGAAATCTGAAATCTGAGAAGGTCTGTTATGTTTTAAGACAGCGTTGTCTTGAGACGTCCTCAGGTTGGCATCCGGTCACGCACCAACTGCTGGCTACGCTGCAGGGGTCAGCCGCATGCCGTATGGAGTGGTCACGGGTCACTTTTGCTCCAGCTCCGGGCTTGTGACAGGCACTGTTCCGGCATAAGCATCCTCTGTTACATGTCGGCCGACTCCTCAGCCTTTGGCCTGCGCATGCTCTGATCCAGAGCAGATCTGAAGCAAGCGGCCGTTCAACAGAAACGCGCGCTTTTGAGGAACAGGCTCTGGTTCAATCGAAATATGAATCTGAGACAAGCTGCAGCTTGACAGCTTCCAGTTTCCTCAGGAATCGATCCTTTCCGGGTCAGCCGACCGGACGATCACCCAGTGGCATCCGAAGTTGCAGACCCAGCGAGACTCCCAGCTATGCCTGTGCCTGTTGCAGCGGCAGGGATGGAGTGTTGAAAATATCCACCGCACTTCCACTGGTAGCCGGACCTGGGATGCTGCTGAGGCTAGCGAGCATTGATGGAATGGGTGGCGTCAGCAGTCTTGTTGAGGTCGCGACAGGCCCAACTTAAAAGGGCTGGCAAAGCTTTACCGTCCCCCGTCCCTCCTCTTCCGGCGCTTGCACCTGAAGAGGTATTTTCCGACTTGCTGCTCGCGGGCCCCCAAGGTAGCGGCCTCGATTTCGCCGCCTCCCCCACGATACGAGTTCGGGCTGCGGTTCAGGGACAAAAGACACACGAGAAAAGGCCTAGGAGTCTAGAATCCAGAGCAAGACATCGACTGGTTTCCCAGGGACAGTTCGTTCCCTGCTGGGCTGAAATGCCAGGGCATCGCTTGCTTGTTGTGCCGCGTACATGTGTGCCAACAGCTTTGTCTTATTACGCATCAACCTATTCCTCGGATGCATATGTTTCTGTTGACGTGGTGCTTGCACATTGTTTCCAGTGACCCCAAACGGGCCTTGGCTAAGTTTGTATCTTTCGGTGCCCTTGCGCGCCCTGCATACCGGCCGTGAAGCCCAGCACGTAGGCGAAGTGGTAAAGTCCCACAGTCCCACATGCATTGCGCATGATGTGAGGAAATCAAGGTGACATGTGGACGGAGGGTCGCACCGATTGAGCACGAGCCATTCTGCATTCTCGCTGAGGCTGCTGGCCAAGCCGAGGTGTCCCGCCGGCCCCTGAAAATTCACTGCCGACAGGCCATCTTCGTCGAACAGTTCCAAGGACTCGGAAGCAGACTCCAAATCAGAGCCCTACGAGTTGAGGCGTGTACTTTCAACGGCTTTGGGAGCAAACGCGCTTCTGCGCCTGGGCTCACAGTCACAGGTGCAGACCATCACAGTGGCCTTCGCAATGGCCAAGGGGAGAGTTCCATTTCGATTCTGTGTGAAGCCCAGCTGGAAGCGGAGCGGAACAGTCTTGAGCAGCTTTCGCATCGAGGCTTGCGGCGAGGCCTTGAATGCTTCGAGCTCAGCATGCACTTCCTGTCGACAATATGCAAAATCCGATGAGTGCTTACGATGGGTTGCTGTTTTTGTGCCATGAGTTTACTGGGCTTCAACCTGCACAACCTTCCAGGAGGGAGCATGCTGGATCTCTCCAAAGATATGGGAAGAGCACTTCTAACTGATTGCCCACAGCGTGATTCCGGATCTTGCAACAGTACCAGTAACAAACAGCTCGATGCTTGGGAGATGAACTTCGCAGGCCTTTTGGTTGGCAGCATCACACAGTCCAGAATCTGCATACACACTCCACATCCTATCCAGCATCGTGAGTGTATGTCAAACTGTCAAAGGGCGGCAAAGCTGCCACCGACGTTCCAACAGCGAGGGCTAGAGCCAAAGTGCTAATTGTCCCCAAGCTCGTTCGAGAGCTGACCTCGAGTGGCCAAAGTGCTACGCGATTCTCGCACTTGAGCATCTTTGAAAGTTGCAGAATCCCGACACTGGGAACTCATCTGTCGAAGGGGTTGTCGGCGTTTGAGTTGTCAATGGAGGCTGCCAAGAAGTGTGAGTTTGTCCCGACGGGTTCTATGGCAGCAGCGAGTCTTGCGGCAAGCATCTCGCAGAGCCAGGATTAGTTCATGTCGTGCCCAGGTTCGATCGGGCACAAACATAATGAACTAAGACAGACTACGACAGGCGGGACCGATGCAGGTACCCAAACATGTCGCCCGGGGCGCCCCTGTGCCCCTGTTCATGCCTCCGGCGCAAGATCCCGTGCAGCTTGCAAGGGAGGTCTTCCTCGCCTGGCTACAAAGAGAGTCTCGATTGGCAGTTGGATCGGAGAAGCCTGAAAAGGTAAGCTTTCTGCTTGTTCTGAGTTATAACCCGATTCTGGCAAAGTCACCTAGGAGAATACGTCGGTCGGCCGAGCGCTGTTGCAGTTCGACTTGGATGCCGATGGCATGCTCTCCGGCTACGAGATTTCACGGGCCGCGTCGCAGGCCGGCGTGGCTGCGGAAGACATTCCCAGCCTGCTGCGACACCTGGGTGTCGGCCCCGGAGGCTTCCGAAGGGCTGGCACACCCCATGCCCACAACGCCGAAAGTAAGGAAGCCGAGTACTCGTATCACTCAGATTTGGATGATATTGACCTGATGTCAATGTTCGGACCCGTCAGCTTCCAGATTGGGGCACCACTTTAACATCGGAGGAGGTAGCTCTTTCTCGGAACACCCCAAACTTTGGTTGTGTCTATTTTTATGTGTATTGTTGAAGGGAGCACCAACAATACCCTTTGCATTATGGTTGGACGATGGTTGGACGGGCGCTTAAGAAAATGCATCCATAACGATATAAAGAGGACCAAGAAGAAAGGACATTGAGGATGAGAAGGAAGGAGGACCAGAAGAAGAGAAGCAACGATCACGTGTGACAGCATCGTTTCCCACGGCGCATGTGAGCTTAGCTGATGATGCCGATGCTCATTGCATACGGCATGACGTGCTCGCTTCGTGAGATCACGGTATACTTCGGCGTAGACAATTGCAGGTAACAATTGCCCATAGGCCCCAATAGGTTCAGGTACCGTTCGCTTTCGACCGCAAATCATGCGCTTCACGTGTCACTTGTGACGATAGATGATGCCTCTTCATCATCAATGAACACACGTCCGTGTAATCGTAGACACAAGAGGTTTGGCCCCTGACCAATGTATCATTTGAATTTATGTCAAACCGCCGGAGCAGTAGGGAGTCAATCCCCAACACAGCCCAAACAGGAACCGAACACAAAGCAAAATCCCAAATCCGATGCCATGGATCTTACGAATAAACACATGCCGTGAGCCTGCACTGCCTCAACTCCCAAGGCAATGCGACCCGCTGCTGAGTTCCCAACCAGGCTTTCTTTCTTAGGCTCTGCAGGGTGATCCAGGGTGCCCAGACACAACTGCATCCGCCAGCCATTCACCCTGCGTGGAGATACTGGGCAAACTAAACAAAAGTAGTTCATGCCTCCGTAGAGATGCTGCTGAGCCCCGCCAAGTGTTTCGGGACCTACCAATAACTATCTCTGAGGCAATCAGAAGAAAAAGCCGGAATTCTGATCTGCAACACCAGTCTGGAGGATGGTTCCAAACAGGAAATGCTTGAAATCCGTTGCAAGACAGACAGACAGACAGACATGACGAGCTCAGGCTAGAAGTGGGTACACCAATCAGACCAGTAGCACACGTTTTCCATCCTTTTCAGTGCGTCGTGCGCACGCAGGCCTGGCCGTGGATGCTCTGTCAGACATCTTGCTGGGACACGTGACACCGGCGGGGCCAAAGCTGCGGCCACCGCCGAAGCAGGCCGTACAAGTATCAAAGCCTACGGAGCAAAGGCTGGCCCCCGGCCCAAACAGGTTCCTCCAGCTTGTGCAAGATGCAAAGAGCCAAGCCGATTACCAGGCGCAAGTCCTTCAGTTTCTGCAAGTTTCTCCGGGGGATAATATCGAGCAGAAGGAGACCGATGCCGTTGCGTTCTGCCTATCGATACCTGCAAGGGACCTGTACGGCATCGTGGACAGCTTTGGCTCAACCGTTCTGGTACTTGCTTGCAGACTCGGCATGCAGCAGCTTTTTCAAGTAATTCTGACGACATCCGCGTCATCTCAGGATCTGTTCTCAGTTTTCGTTCAATCTCTGACAGAATGTGTGTTAATCTGCAGTATGCTTGAGATGACAAACCCACATGTCTTGAAGCCTGACTCGTCTTCGCAGCTGTGAGGAGCGCAGCGCCTTCGTGAACCAGCCTAACGACATGGGATGGACCCCTCTACTCCTGGCAGCACAAAATGGATACCATCTGATGTGTGAAGAGCTTCTTTGGGCACAGGCCGATCCCAATCTTCCCACAGAAGGCACGCGTCTCTCCCCACTGACATTGGCAGCTTCTTATGGCCACGCTCACACCGTCCGGCTCCTGCTGGACAGCTCTTCGCCTAAGATAGGAGCAATTGTCCAATTGTGACACTTCTGCAGGGTTTCTTTGCTCGTCGCAGGATGTTGAGTGGACCAGGCCGCCTACCAACCGAGCTCATCCCTGGATGCTCTCTTCCGACGGGCGTTCGGCCTTGCACTTCGTCCGGGCACGACTGCAGTGCAGGATGAAACTCGTGGACGATGGAGAGGATCCACGGCTAGACAGCTACAGCATCAGGAAGCCGCGGCACGCGGAACTTCCCGAGGAGTACAGCAACATTGAGCGCATGCTGGTTGCAGCGATGCGCGTGGTGCCACCGCCGCCCGGATTCGAAGCGGCTGTCCAGGACGAGTACTTGGACGTCGGCGTCTGGAATCAGATCCTTGAGGAGTTGGATCTTTTGCGTCGGGAGGTTCCTGCGCAGAAAGGCCGCTGATGTGTCGCGAATGCGCACCCCAGTCATCAGGCTTCACAAGTCAAACATGTTCCGTACATGTAAGCACTCGCCGTTCGGGGTTGGGTCTTCTTGATAGTCCTGATTCCTGGCCCCACGTGGCATATATATATATATATATATGACGATAGATATATATATATATATATATATATATACACACAAAATTAATTTTAACGCTACGCCGCCCGCCTCGGCTGTGTAGCGGCAGGGCGAGGGGGCAGTCGATGTTCTTTTATGCTAGGGCGGCCTGTCAAACCCCAAGCTTTCCAGGAAAACGGGCACAGGGGGAGGGAGGGGGAGGGGGGGAGGGAGGGAGGAGGATTAGGTGGAGGGTACCTGAGGTAACCACCAAAACGCCTGGGCCTCTGGCCTCGGCGGATATAAATATATGTATATATATATATATGTATGTATGTATGTATGTATGTATATACATATACACATATTTATCTGTATATATATATATATATACATATATATATATATATATATATCTTGCATTTCTCGCATGTGGGGCGTAGTGTCCGATTCGGGCGCGGCCCTTTGGCATCCATCCAATTAGGGAATCCTTGCGCAGAAATCTGGACACGTACCAGCATGCGCTAAGGCTGGGAATCACATGTGCGAGGATTTCAGCCTGAGCCTATTCCTCAAGGGGGGAGGGTGAGGCAAGTTGCAAGCTGTACACCCCACACAGCTGACATTCAAACGCAGCTGTGCCCATCCAACACTACCATGTGCAGTGACTGCGTATACACATGGAGTTTAGTAGCTAAAAACAATCGGACCGAAATGAAACTTGATGTCTGGTTGCATTGTCATTGACAGCCATCTTGGCCATCGCCATTAGAAACGGTCGTATTCTAATCCACATTCCAGCTCGCTATGGCCCTCTCAGATTGTGTAGAAAGGGATTAGCTGCCTCATTGTACTGCCTCAAAATTAAAGGTGACAATCAGCAGCTTGACGAGCATCTGCATTCCACCACCAGATTTGGCTCCACATTCCACCGTCTTGGACTCCTGCGTAGCAGCCTGGAAATGCCGGCGGACTTGCAGGTTTCCGGATCTTGAACCTCCGCGGCGTGACCGTCACAGTTCTTCAAGTAGCGCTCTGCAGTTCCCCAGATATCGTTGCATCGATGGGTCTCGCTGTGCCGCTCCCACACCCAGAAGTCGAGGTGTGCGTTGATGTCTTTGACTGCTTGTTCAAGGAAAGTCTTGCAGCCATTGTAGCCTTCGCCATTTGCCGGCGCACCATCTACAGAACCGCGCTGAGTACCAAGAAAGGTGCCTTCAACCCCCATGTGGTAGACACAAGCAGTCATGTCCTGTCCGATTTTGGCCTCCCATTGCCTGCACTGGAAGTAGGCCTGGAAGAACCACTGGTGCCACAGTATCGGGCTGGCTACCTGCAAAAGACATGCCGGAGGAAAACGATCAGAGGCGTGATATGCCTCGCTGCAGTCGGCAGCGAGTTTTTTGGAGTCCGCAGTCGCTGCCAGGCTGTTCTTAACGTAACCTGCTCCCATAGCGGCTCTTGGACGACGCTACAGCGCCTGGGGTTCTAGCAATGTGGCCCATGGGCTCACTCGATCCAGAACCCTGACCATATATATGTATATAAAAATATATTTATTCTTTTTTTACATATAGATAGATAGATAGGTATATATAGATAGTCAGATAGATAGATATGTAGATCTACAAGGATGCGAAGCATTGACGCACTGATCCCTTTTGACTTGTGCTCGGCTTTCGGCTTGAAGTGCCACTAGCACGCCCGGCTCCAGCCGGGCCCCATGGGCGCAACTGCCAGCGTTGAGGCCCCGAGTGCTGATGATCTCAAGCGCCTTTATGACAAGCACGACATCACCGGCTCCGGGCACCTGGAGAAGCAAGAGGCCCCACCAGCGCTTGCTGCACCAGGGTTGTGCTACCTTTGAGGAGCCCTCGGGGTGTTCTGTAGCAGTGCTGCTCGGAGAGGCGGCCGCGACGTTTAGAGGAAATGCCTGACCCGCATGCAGCCTGTTAGCAGGCCGCCTCTGCGCCTCCGAGTCTGGCATAGAGCATTGGTATTGAGTAAGCCCCGAATCTGCCAAGTCATGCTCGGGTTTGAGCCTAGAGTCGTTTGTTACATGGTCTTTCAGACCCACCCGGTTCTTGGGCAGAAGCTGCCTTTGGAAGCGCGTTCTTGGAGAGAACGTGCGACAGGCTTTCGCGCTTCTCGAAGATCTGAGGATCAGATATGGCTTGCCACGGTCTGAGTGCGAGGCAGAGAACGTGGTTTTGCAAGCACATCCCTCTGACCGAGGGAGGAGGAGCTTCCCGAGTCCTTCAAGGAAGCAGTCTTTCAGGCAAAACGTCTCGCTAAAGGTTTCTGCAGTAAGTAGAAGCAAAGCTTAGTCTTTGTCCCACGCAAGACCGGCTGTTCTGTCAGGATTTTGACAAGGACAGCGCTGGCACCTGGAGTTGGTATGGCACTGCACGTTTACCGGTCGGGGACACTTTCAGTCACCGCAGTCGAGGGAGTGTTGAAGCACTTGTTTTCTGATCGTCAGGAGGTCAATGTCGAAGCAATTTTGCCAGTCCTCTGTTGACGCTCAATTGGGACTGCTTTCCACAATTTATTTGATGCAGACGCAAGGTCATATTTTGATTTTGTTGGCCTTTCCTTCATCAACTGGCGCTTGTGGCTTCTCACAGCTTCTGTGGTCTGCAAGAACAGAGCCTCACTTTTTCAATCCGACGAGAAGACATGAATTGAAGGGAGTCCGGAGCCGATGGCCAGGCACGATGTGCGAGTTCTAAGCGGAGAGGGTTGGCCTGTCAATGCCTCGGATTGCAGGGTGTGCGTAGGGTACCCGTATCTCTTCTGCATCGGCTGCTTTCTGAGATGTGCTGGGTCTCACAAAGGCCATGAGACGGCGCTTGCAGCGCTTGCGAGTGCGCGGAGGCGCACGTGTAGCGACTCTGCACCAGCTGCAGTACAGCTAGGATGGACAAATGGACGTTGTCTTTTGAGGGCAGAGGCACGTGTCACAACTCGGGTCTGCAAATCACGGCCGGAGAGTTGGGTGTGTTTGCCTGTGTTTGCCCCCAAGAGCCCAATGAGAATCGGATCGTGCAGCAAGTCCATCTTTTGAGGGTTTGGGGAGGTTTGGGGCATTTAGAGCTTGCCTCACTTTTTCGGGTTGAGGTTTCGTGTCGTGGGCTCATGGGCGTTTTGGGCTCCAGGCCTTGCCACTTCTTAGTTTGGGGCTGTTTAGGGTTTGCCACTTCCTTTAGGGTTGGCTTGGGTTTGAGATGGTTTGAGTAAGGCGGCAGGACTTCTGAATTTCGCGTTCTCCGGTCCCTTCGGGTTGGGTTGACATTTCGCCGCTCAGCCTCTTGTATTTTCTCGCAGGCTTGGCTCCTCGTAAGCTACAAACCATTTCCGGCTTGCGGGTTCCCGTGGGATGAGGTTTTAGGGGTTTGCCCTTTCGGTTCAGGCTTACCTTCCTTGTTGCCCTGGAGCTTCAGGGTTTAGGTTCTGGCTTTTGCATCCAGGGTTTTGTGGCTCCAGGGTTTAGGATTTAGGGTTTGGCGCTCTTTCAGAATTTGGGATTTCCAAAACTAAAAGCCCCCAGTCCTCAAACCTTAACTCTAGATCTCGTTGCTGCAACGGTGAAGCCCAACCGCTGCACGACACGGTTCGCACACCTAGGGGTCCTCCGATTCCTGTCGTAGACAAGTCTTGCACGTGCGTGGTTTTGGGGTTGCGCAGCTCTTACCTGCAGCTCCTCTGACTTACACCAAGCAGTTTATGGAAGTGTTTCTTTGTGTTGTCTGGCTGCCGGGCTTTCTTTAGATCCGATGCAGTACATCAGCATTTTGTTGCTGTTCCACGCTGGTGAGTGAGCATCTGGGGCGGGCGCGGAGCAAAACAAGAGCCCCTACATGAGGCGAGAGCGCGTGAGCAAGCACAAAGCACCACAGCAATAGGACCCAGTGGCAGCGCCAGTAGCAAAGTCGAGGTGGAACAAAGCAAACATGTTGGACGGAGTCTACTAGCCAATTAACCGTAAAGCGGCACTGCGGAGAAGCAGCCACATCAGGCCAGCGGCACAATCGAGCTCAACGGCAGAAGGAGCAGACATTTACTGAAAGTGGGCTCCTCTGACTACTGGCAGTAGGGCACAGCTCGTTCTCATGACCAGCTTGCTTGCTGAGGTGCCGCTTCAGCTTGGTCAAAGGCCCAGCTGCAATCCGATTCTCGTAGTGTCGTTTGCTGCAGCCCTTGCAGGTGTCCGGTGCAGGAGCCGCTGTCGCGGCTCTTAAGGAGGTAGAAAAGGCTCCAGACTTGGAGGCTTGCAACGCACATCCAGGCCGGTGTGTGCATGGTGTGTGTGGTGAGTGATCTGGGCAGGAGGAGGTTCAGCTGGACTTCCACCCGCTGCGAATCCAAAACATATCCATTGGACAGGACGCTGGTTGTTTGGAATCCTTTTCCGGACTGGAGCCCGTTCATCCGGCAAAAGCCCCAGACTCCCCAGATAATCACAGATTCTCCGGGCAATACTGGTATCCGACAGTCTTTCTGCCATGAGGCAGCAGTCTTTCGTTTTCCGTTAGCTGAGCTAAGGAGGGGTGGGGTTTAAGACATGGGATCAACTGCCATCGCCCAAGCTGGCCCGAAACTGTGCTGTGAGACGGCGGCACAGCGTTAGGAACGGAATCGACTCCGGGCAGAATCCGCTTTCAGTGTTCACTCTTTGTTAGTCTTGCACTAAGAACTTTCGCGTGTCACCATAAGCAGAGCAGACTGTTGCGAGGAACACGAGGATAGGACTTCTAGGTTTCGTTTTTGCAACACGATGCCAAGCCCCGCTTCCTTTGCGAGGAATCCTGGACCTTCGCGCCTGTGCTCGACTTGCGGGTGATCCGCCAGGGGCCAAGAGAGAGAGTGCCAGCTCCCGGAGCTGAGTTCTGAGGCTTTGAGGCTTCTGCGGTTTTGCGGAGGAGGGTCCAGGGTGTATGATTTCTTCACACAAGGGTCCCCTCCAACTCTCTGCGCATTGAAAGCTTCTTGGGGATTGATGAAGAATGTAGGAGCGGTCCTCCGATCTGCTTCTTGCCCCCGCCCTATTGTTCTTGTGGTCAATCCCCCCATGGCGCCCTAGAACGTTTTGTGGCCAGGCGTGCATTCAAGAGAGCAGCGTGAAAGCTCTGACTGGTGGCAGGTTACGTGCAGGATCTCTGCCGAAGTTGAAATGCCACAGAAACAAGAGAGTCCACTTCCAAGAGAGCGCCGCTTGTGACTCACCGTGCATCTTCGTTGGTTCAGTTTCTTACACCCTGGTCCATCCTGCATGCTAACCATCAGCACTTCGGGTCGGGGCAAAGGGCAACGTCGGAGATGCTGCAAGGCTCCACATGGGGCAAACTGTGCCCTGACATTCCACTGTCGCCGCTACATTAATGCATGTCGGCCTCGCGACACCCCAAGGCGGCGACCCTCGCCGTGGCCGGACAGCACCCAATGAAGTCAACCAGGCGGTCTTCGAGGGGTTCGGCCCCAAGATGGCAAAGGGCTGCAAAAGAAGTTGAACAGCTCAGAACGGTTGAGCTCTAAGAAGGCGTCTCTTGCAGTGTTAATGCTGGAATGTTGATCCCTTGTTTGACGGATGACTGCAAACCGAACTTTAGACCTTGTTGCAGTCATCCGTCCACGAAAGTGATGGAAGCTGTTGTGGTTTTTGTGCCGCAGAGCCATTAAGCAGAAATGTGTAGCAAAACCTTGCAACATGTTGACGTGCTGGCAACATTGCATGCTTACTAATCTTTCGTCAACTCCAGGAGGTAATTACTTGCAATCGTAATGGACTGTCATAGAGTCCATGAGGCTCACCACGCTTTTGGGCTTCTGTCTCACATGCGAAATTGCATGTATGGGGTACGGGTACCATGAGCAAAGTGCTTTGTTGATAAGACACGCCGGGGACTGTTTCTGCACTGTAAGGCCCTTCGTGGCGCGTGTTGTATCCGGTGTCCCTCGCGGTACTACAGAGGCCCGATGGGAAGCGGCTGACGTGCATAGATCGGGCCTAATTGAAACTGGCAATTAAAGGATCCGACGTGGTCTGAGTCGTTGCAGTTGACTTTCACCAAAGCGCTCTGCCCTCAATAGTGACTCCTGCCTACATGGACGTGAGCACAAGGATGTCTTTGGCGCAGAGCCGCAGATCAGACGACACGGGAGACTAGGACGCAGCTCGAAGCTTGCGAGGAGGCATGACAGAACATTACAGGGTTTTCCCAGCCCCGCATACCGATGTATACGGTCTCACAGCATCAGACAAGCTTTTCGATCCCTATGGTGGGTTTGGTACTACAGTATTCCAGCCAGCGACATGCCTATGCTGTCGGCGCATGGAGACGATGGTCGCGGGCTTTCCACATGCGTCGAGCGGAAGTTCGCCTCAAGACCATCAAGGCGAGGGCGAGGGCCATGAACCGACGGAGCTGTGTTCCGCTGATTGCATCCAGTTTAGTAGGTTTTTGCGCCAACAGCTGAAAGAAGTATGGCACGGGTTTCTGCTTGCCTCGACTCTCTTCCGTTCCAGGCTCTAGGGTGGGCAAATTCCAAACACTATGCGATTTTTCTTTCATCCTTCTGCTCACCTCACCCTACACCCTAGACACTCGGCGGTCGAGGGCACCGGCCGACCCAGGACCTCTGACTCTGCCCGCCACGGATGCGGCAGCACCCAAGGGGCCCGGGACTGGAGACCGAAGACGCTTGCTGGAGCCGCAGTGCACCCGGCTCCTGTAGTCCCGGCGGGCGCTGCCCTGCCCCGCCTTGCCCCCCGCCGCGTTTTGTGTGCCCTCCCCGTGAGTTTCTTCGTTGACCAAGAAACTAAGTTAATACAACAGCAGAAGCTTGGGGTGGCAGGGCCGCCGACGACGGCACGGGGGTGGGAGATTAATTTTAACGCTACGCCGCCCGCCTCGGCTGTGTAGCGGCAGGGCGAGGGGGCAGTCGATGTTTTTTTATGCTAGGGCGGCCTGTCAAACCCCACCTTTACACGGTTGTTGATAGAAGTGCGAGGAGAACGGGCACAAGGGGGGTGGAGGTGGGGGGGAGGGGAGGGGAAGGGGGGGGAGGGGGGGGGAGGGGGGGGGAGGGGGGGTGCTTCTTTTCCTCCAAACTTGTTAAAGCCTCCCGGCCGGACCACGCAAAACAGGAAATGACAAGACGGAAGGAGCCTGCACACAAGGAAAAGCAAATTGAAGCAAGAGTTTAAGCCCACAAGGCACCGGGCAGCCACGGGAGAAGTGGGGGGCGGGGAGAAGCGGAGAAGAAAGGGAGGGGAAGGGAGGGGAAGGCGGAAGGAGGAGGAGGGGGGGGGGGAAGGGGAGGGGGGGGGAGGGAGGGGGGGGGGGGGGGGGGGAGGGGGGGGAAGGGGGGGGAGGGGGCCTGGGAGGGAGAGGCAGGCCAACAAATCAGGTAAAATGAAGGGAAGCCGGGTAAGGGGGTGGCAAAGGAATGCAAAAAACGGGTGTCCCCACCGCAGGGAGGAGGGGTACCTGAGGTAACCCCCAAGACGCCCCTCGGCGGATTACAAGAAAAAGGTCCGCTACAACCAGGCCTCAGCATGCAATCGAAACGTACGGAGCACTCGATCAAGCTTTTTCTTGCCCATGATGTCTTCGGCTGTGCGCAATTCAACGGCGAACCCTAAATCTTAAACCCTAAATCCGAATCCGTTTTTTGCAGGACGTTTCCTCGCTGTGGGCCTGAGCAGCGTGGCGCTTCGGCACAACAGGGCTTTCGCGGCATCCTTTGAGGCAGCGAGCCTTGATTGCTCTGAGCAGCCCCGAACCACATTCTCAAGCCGGCGGATGTCAGCTAAAATCGAGAGGGCGCCAGTGGATGTCGAGCAAATATGCTCAAGACTGGCAGCAGTAAGACGGAACCACCTGCTGTTTGGCGAAATCGATGAGGCCCCTGAGCCGGATGGAGAACCTGCGCAGGCGAAGCCAAAGCAGCAACACGCTCGTCCCGCCGCAAGAAGCGGAGAGGGTTCTGAGCTCACCAGCAGATCACAGCGGATGGCGCAGAAGAGGTTTTACGACATCGATGTCGGCAAACTGGATGCTCAGAGTGTATTTGAGAGAGTTGCAGGAGCTCCGGACAGAGTGAATACGAAGCTGTGTTTTTTCCGTGACCGCCCGGACCTTGTCCTCCCCATTATCGAGGAAAAGTTCATTGTTCGCGATGAGAAGAGGGATTGCGAAGTGCTGGACCTGCCTCGTTTGAGAGGTGCCCAGTCAGCCAGGACACCCCGCAAGAAAGTTCAAGCCGTGCCGAGCAGTGCAAGTCTCAAGACGCTGCTCTCCGAAGACGATGCCGTGTATGACAGCGCAGAGGAAAAACACTTGCAAGACAGCCCACAAGGACAAGAATACCTTTCTGTTGCCGAGCCGCGAACGCTGCAACATGTTCTGTCCATGGCTTCCGTCAATACGCGCCCCTCAGAGCACAGCAGCCTGGAAACAGGGGAACAGAGGTCTCTTCGAATCGTGCGAGCTGGCCGTATCCGTGACGAGCGAATTCAGATCGCGCAGCGGGCGGTTCGGAGCAACGAGCTGCAGTGGCGTCTGCACCATTATAAGTGCTTCCGGGACAAGGAGCAGCGGAAGGACTGCAGCTGGAAGTATGCATTCATAGTTCCACCGTTGAGGATTCACGACATGGGACCTTGGTTGTACCGGAAAAGTGGCAGTGTGTTATTGGCTACTGGATGTCAATGTCCAGAGCGTGCAGCTCTTTTTGTCCTGCACCCTCCCGTCCACAAAGGTGCGGCGATCGTGCTATCGCCACGGTTCTGTGCGTGTTGTGGAACTGTGCTCCCGCCGCAGTTGCGTGCGTTGCCAAGTCCAGAAGTCCCGCGGGTTTTGGAGTTTAAGTGTGTGACTCGTGTTTCAGCCTGAGCAAGTCGTGCTAATGCCGCAGCGCCCTGCGTTGCCAAGTCCCGAGGTCGCACATACATTCATGCATATCTTCATCTCTACGTCGTACATTTTGTCTGTATGTCTGTTTGTATGTATATAAGACAATGTATATGCATGCATGCATGTATGCAGGTGGGCAAGTAAGTAGGTAGATAGTTATGCAGGTATGTGGGTATGTAGTTATGGAATTTATGTATGTAGGTATGCAGGTATATGCAGGTATATGCAGCTATTTACGTATGCAGGTATGTAGGTCTGCAGTATGAGTGCAGTATGCACGCATGTGCAAAGGCGGGGGGGCAGGGGGCAGGGGGCAAGGACAGCTGCAGAGGGTGGAGCCAAACGAGGAGCACACCAGTACTTTGCCTTTACGGTTTAGTCTTGGACGGCGGTTGGATAGATCGCATGCGCCCCTGAACTTTTCTTGATCAGGGTCAATGCAGGGGTCCATGGTAGCCCAGCATGCAAAGACGAGATCGTTCAGTTTCACTGCAGTGACCGCAGACTTTCTTCCCCATAGTGGATCGCAATGTTTGATGCTGTCACGAGATGCGTGCAAGGAGCTTCAGCTCCTGGCCTCCAGGCAGCAGACCCTGCTTGAGTGGATGGCTTGTGCTATCGCAGCTCAGCGTCTCCTGAAAGCTATGCAATTGGCCCGCGATCGGCGCTTGTGGTACCGTCAGTCAGAAGCCAAAGCGCCGCTGGCGACCACGACCAAGTCTAAAGCGCACTGGCTGCGAGCGAAGAAGATCGTTAGCAGCAGCTTGACCGAGAAGGACGGCCAGGGCAATCTGCAAGAGATCTTCAACTCGCGTGCGAAGCGCAGCAAAGCAGCTTGGGAGCGCTGGGATCACTTGCTGCGCATCATGAAGTTCTTGGCGAAGTTGAAATACCGGAGCAACCTGACACGGAGCGCTTGCGCCATCAAGCAGTTCATCGAAGGAGCCTGGCGCGGCATGCGCTTTCGCGCTCGGGTTGGTGCCTACCTCTACAATGTTCGGGCCTTGTCGCGACCTGAGTTGCCGGAAGAGCGGGACATGAAAGGTTTCTTTGGAGAGAACGGGAGACTGCGAAGAGACTCTTACCCGAGGCAGCGTGCCATGCGAGCGGCCATCAAGTTCCGAGTGCAGGTCCGCAGCTTCATCTATCTCCCCACGCTCTGGGAAGTTGAGACACAGCTTCTAGGACAGTTTTGTCACCTCTGCAGCTGTTCTACAGCTCTGGGTGATCGGATTTGCAAGCCTGGCCTTCGCCTTCGCAGGAGAGAAGCTCATGGCTCATTTGCCTAAAGGCTACACGAAGCAGCGCATCCAAACGCACCGGCAAACCTGGGCTACTTGGGCATGGTTCTTACGGGCGGTGTTTTGTTGCTTCCGGACCCTTCTCTACGATTCACGCAACCAAAGCATCTACAGCAGGGTCTTTACTGAGCCGCTTGTTCAAATGATGGGGACAGTCATAAGACTTGAGCTCAGGACCTTGAAGGCCGCATCCGAGTGCTGCAAGAAGCGGCAAAAGAGCGCAGGATACCTGGTTTAGGACCGACGGCATCGCAGAAGCATCTGCACGTGCGATCCGAACCAGCCGGAGAGAGACGCTCGCAGGACGCAAGGGGTACATGGTCGAAAAGCGGAAGACGACGAAGACGACCGTTTTTGCCTCAGTCCTCGGTGCTGTACACCGAGCTTTGGTGCTCCTGCGGCCTGCGAACGCGCAGCGCCGAGGCGACGCCGAGAGCCACCCGCATTGGCAGACGACGCAACGCCCAGTTTCGGCCGTCGGAGAGGAGAGCCCAGGGGCCATGATCGGCTATGCCCACGCATGTTTTAGCGTAGCGGTGTAGCCTAGGAGACAGTGGGCATTTTTTGGGGTGTTGAATCATGGGTGTTGGGGCCTTCGCTGGTCAGGCCCGAGCGCATGGTTGTCTTCTCGGAACTTGGCGAGGCTGCGGGATCATGCGGGATGAACCAGTCTGGTGGTACCAGCAAGCAGACGTGAGGGCGAGATTGAACGTCTAAGTGTGTTCGTGACCAAGTTCGCTCACGAAGTTGCAGGGTTCGGTCTTGCATGTTGGCGAAGTTGTGGGAGGCAATCCCCACCACATCTGCCGAGCGGAAACAGCAACAGGCAGGACGGATGCTGGTTTCCCAGTGACTGCACGTTGAGTTGGTCTTGTCTCTGGATTTGGGATTGTTCTGACAGCTGACAGGCTCTGATGATTGCGAACAATGTCCTGGCAGCTTGGCTACGGAAGCAGCTGGTACATGTGCCATGCAGGTTCTGAGAGGAAGCAGCAGCCAACAGCGCATGTTACAGTACTGGTAGCAGCTTCCGACAACAAGACCAGCATGTGTATTTTCACGAGCTGCCGAGGACCATTATCGGCTCGACCTAGAGACGAGGAACGACATCGTTAAGACTCTCTTCATTCAGAGCCTGCACCGCTGGAAGGAAAATTATCGTGCCTACCTTGTGGAGAACAAAAGGTTGAACAAAGTGTGGCAACTTTGCAGCATTCCCATTCCTCCATGCTACCACACTGTCTTCATCCCCTTGACCCCCTTTGTGTTGTTGCTGGCGGCCCAGGATTGCGATCAATGCTTGCAGAAATCTGAGGCAACAGTGGCGACTCGAAATCCAAGCTCTGGGACCTCACAGGAAGGAGCACTGGCCAAAGCCTCCTCCGTCCTCGCAGCCGCCCTCCGAGATGTACAACGTGGACACGAGGAAGCTGCGAGGCATGATCATCGCGGCTCTTGCTCAGTCTCAGCTTGGTCGCAGTCTCTTCGCCCGAGACATCCGACGTGTCTCGAACCCCTGAGCATCTGAAGATGAAGTGTTAATGCCCTGGGCATGGCCACGCTGAAAGGTGTACAGTCAGCAAGGTCGATCACCCGCTCCCCACGTCTCGAATAGCGGGATCGAGAGGGAGACATCTTCCAATCTGGTCACGATCCGGCATGGATTGGCTCTCTCAGGCGTTTGGCCTTGTACTCTGTCCTTGGCAGCTCTTAAAAAGACTTGCTGTGGAACAGCTTGGATAATGTTAACTGAATTGAAAATCTTGCTGTCTTCAGAACAACTGTGTTGCTTTCCGTTCGTTGAAGCACCGCCACTCCCCGCATCGGGCGTTCTGCATCAATTCACTCCTGAGGAAGGGACTTTATGTCCATGTGGTTCTGTCCGACACGCGCTTCGGCGTCGGCTTGGGCCCTCTCGCAGAGCTTGTCGTTACGCTTGGGGAGGCAGGCTGATCTTGTTGTAGAACATGAACAGCAAGCTGCAAATAGTTAGTAAAATATCGCGAAGGTGCGCTGAAACCGGCATTTTGTTCCGAGGGCTCTGAAGACTCACAAGGAATGCTGTCCATTCAATTCAAAACCCCTCTGCCACCCAGACCAGTTCTACGTTTTGATGTAAACACTGAGCAGCTGCTGCAGCAGGTGTTGGACATGATGCGCTCTCCGACTGTAAGCCCAGACCCCAGGCAGAAGATTCCGAATGTCTGATGTATCGATTCGCCCTGCACACTATGCTGTCCGTTCTCATGCGTCCTGGTGCTGCCCTAGGGCCAAGGGCCCCAGAGTCTATCTCTCGCAGGCTGCGTAGCACTCAAGGATGAAGCGTCCCAGCGCTGTAGACGGCGCCAAAGCGCCGGTCGCAGCAGAGGCGAGCTCCAAGAGCTGAAAGCTCCTGCCATCGGATGGGCCCCCGCAAGCGGTCAAAGACTCCATCAAGGTCGCAGAGCTGCGATGACCTCGGTAGGCTGCGTGGCCGACAGATCTCGAATCTAGAATTGACACGTCGGTTTGTGGAGAAGAACCTGCGTTCAGTCGGCAATGTCACACATGAACATGGGCAGCAAGCTTTCATTATGTAACGTACTGCCGTTGCGGCCACATCTCAGGGCATGGATGCAGACCGAGCAGCCAGACAACACCTTCCTCACGTGCGCCGCTGAAGTACGCCTTAGCCGGGCCGAGTGGAAGCACGGGAACAAGGGCACAGTGCAAACCCTTGCAACCCTATGGAGCCTTAACCAATTTGCTAAGGACGGTGGCCACGAAGCCAGCAATTGGACTTGTCGAGCCGCTGCGTAAGAGTCAGCCCCCCGGTTTGCCGGTTGTGCAGGTCATCGGATGCTTGAGGCTGCTTCTTGTTGTGGCAGCCTGAAGCTCGAAGTCATGCGTGACATGCAGGCGAGAAGGACATCAGGACGTATGTGCAGAAGAAGCGGGAGGTTTTCCTTGTTCACATGGCATGCGACAACAAGCGAGAGGAGATTGCTGGACCCTGAGCTCAGTGTGAGTTCGGGCTAGGGAGATCGGCCCTGCAGGCCTCTTCAGGGCTTCTGTGATCCGAGGTGCGCTTAGATGCGATGGCGAAGGCGAAGGAAGATGCATTGGCCATTTCCCAGCAAACTCTGGACGAGGACGCCAAAAAGATCGAAGACTACCTCCAGGATCCATGGGAAGACAGTGTGTAACGATCGGATGGTCAAGAACTTCGTGCGACCATTGATTTCACTGGCAGGCACGAATCGCGAAAGCTTCCGAGGCGACGAAGGAAAGTGATTACCACGCTAAGGTGAAGCAGGACAAGGTCTTGAGAATCAAAAGCCTGAAGCAGCAGATCGCTGCTGTACAAAGTGACACGAGCAAGTTGAAGGAGGCCCGGCGCACAAAGGCGAGGGCGAAAGCCTGTTGCATCTGTTGCGGCTTTACAGACTTGCAGGTAAGGGTGGAGTGCGAAAGATACAAGATGTTTTTGGAGAAGATTACTCCGCCAGAATGGAAGGAGGAGCAGCTGAGTCCTCAGCTTTGAGCAGGAAAGCTGTCTGGGGGAGGCTGCCCAAGTGAAGACACAGTCATGTAATTCAGGAAGCGCAAGAAGGAACAAAGGAAAAAAGACAGAGCAGAAAGGCTCGTTTTTGACCTTGGTATGTCTCATCGAGCCACCCCGCGTTGCAGGTGGAAAAAGGAACGTCTGGCTCCGATAATGGAGCAACTAGCGCAGGAGGAAGAGAAGCTTGACAAAATCGCCCAGGAGGAGGAGGCGGCGACTGCCATGTCGTAAAGTTCACAGTCACAGTCACGCCGCGAATCTCCGCTTTCCCCCTCGTCCCCGTCTCATCATTTAGTAACGGAGTAGCGAGCCTGGCGATGACAAGATTGAAAAGACTTGTACCAGTACTTGTGATTGCTGTGCCGACAGCCACATGAGTCGGAACAACCTTGGTCGTTCGTCGTAATGATCCTCGTAATGATCATGCTTTCTGTGACGTAAGCAAGACTACGGGCTGTCTGAGGGGAAGTTCTGAGGCAGATGTTGTTGAACTCAAGTGAAGTTGCCGCAGGTGGCTGGGCTTGAGTTCGGGCACGTTTTCGGATTGTGCTTTGCGTGCTGTTCTTGGTCGTTGCAAAGAAGGGATCCACAGTCGAAGCAGCTTCGCCCCAGGATAGACTCAATCACAGTGAAGAAACAACTGAAGCCAAGAGAGAAGAGATATAAGAGTGGCACTGAAGCACAGCGCATGAACACAAGTTTCGAGCAAACACGCAGTATTTTCATCAGACACTTCTAGTTGGCTCGATGATCGTCATGATTAAGGCCGAAGCTTCAAAGAAGCGTGGCAAAAAGCAGCGACGAAGAGAAGACGAGGCGGAATGAACAGATGCGTTCATGGATGGAACATGTAAGGTACTGGATGACCCAGCATTGGTGAACCTTTGCCATGTCGCCCCCTTCCCGTCTCAGGAGGAGTTTCTGCAGCGACAGCGGGAGCGAGACAGTCGCCGCAAGCGCATTCAGAAGCGAAGAGAGGCAATGTCGTCCGTGAGCCGTTTGATTTCGTTGACCTGCATGGCCGACGAGTGCGAGTGTACAGGAGGAAGAGAGGAAAGTCAATGCAGAGCAGTGGGCCCAGCTGCGAACCTGATGGGTTCCAGATGTTGACACAAGATAAAGGCTGTGCAACTTCTAGAAGTAGCCTTGTGAATCACACGTGTGACCAACGTGTGACGAACTAGGTATGTGGTCGTTTCTTCAGAAGAGGAGCCAGAGCTCTTCTTCAAGGACACGCGCACCGCGCTGCGGTTTGCAAGCCGCAAGTCTGCTGCTTTCGTGCAGGAGCCCCAGCAGCTCATGGACAGCTTCACAGATCTGGAGGAGCTGAACCTCTTCCTCATCCAGAGCTCTCAGGCTTCTGTCGCCTGCCGCAGCCTTCAGAGGAAAACTCAAGGGAGGGGGCCTTGAAAGGAAGCCGAGAAGCAGCTGGATGACATGCGCAGCAGCTTTGAAGCCATGAAGAAGAACATGGGTCACAAGGATTCTTGGAAACATATTCTGGGGTTCGAGCAGTGGGGTCAAGCGGGGGAGCACCTGAGTTGAGTTTCACAATGGTGCAGGAAAAGCCTGTTCGTATGTTGACTCCGTGTTGTCTCCAGATCTGTTTCGACGTGTTCCTGCGCAGAGCTGACGCGACTGAGAATTCCATGCTTCACTCCCGGCGCTAGCTGGGAATAGCTGGACCGTGGTCGGACTGGGCCAATCAATCATACTGGCAGTCTCAATCGTTCGGTAGCATTGCGTGATGCTGCATTGCCGGCCTGATGGTCTCTCCTGCTTGAGTATTCCGACGTCGGAAGATGCTGGAGAACTAGACAGCCTCCAAGTCGTTCTGCTCTCTGAGCTTGTAGTAACGACGCAGCATTGAATTCGCTGGCATTTGAGCAGGTGCAGCAGTTGAACGATCAAGTCAAGCAGTTGGAGCAAAGCATCAAGCAGGTCCGGCGCCCAGGTGCTGCCAAGCCTATGAGGAGGCCTGCAAGAGGCGGAAGACAGTGCGTTGAGTTAGGAGCAGAGAAGGGGTGAAGAGATAAAGCAAAGCCAAGAGGAAAAAGCCAGCACAGCGATGCAGGAGCTTTTTGCAGCTCTGAAGATGGGAACTTGTTTTCGGCTTACCGTTTGCAGATCATGGCGCCTGCTGCAGGACAAGAAATTGAGCAGCTTGGCAAAGAAGGCAGCCGCTTCACGCAGCCGTCCTTCATGAGCATGCCATGCTTTCCCGTCCTTGTGCGCCGCCTGGAGGTACATGAAGTATATGCAAGGTGCAATCTTGCAAGGGATCAGCAGCAGCCGGATACGCTGCAGATGCTCGGGGCCATTGAATCGCGGATTGAGGAGTTGATTCAAGGTCTTGACGAGGTCTATCAGCAGGACTCCGCCGACACGGGATGTCACAGGTGTGCGGTGTGCCTGGGGTTCTGCCCAGAGTCCCTATTGGCCATTGGTCCGCGCGTGTTGGAGGACGAAGACTTGGTAATGCGGCTGGAGAAGATCAAAGAGGGCGATTGGCGCGAGAGAGCTTGGCTCCGAGCTTTCGAAGCCTTCCCCCTCTCCGGTCGGCCCTGCTCCCTCAACTCAGTGACGCTAAGGTTCGAGAGACTCGACTCAAGGAGCAGTCAGAAAAGCAAGAGGACCGATTGAAGCAGTCGCTGCAACGCTCTCAAAAGCCGGTCTTCAAGAAGGCTCTCGCACTCAGACTTCTGCACATGGCCAGCTCTAAGAGAGACTAGACGTCAGCTCGCACTAAGGCTGGCAAGCAGGTCATGTACCGGTCTCCGCCTCTCCGACAAGAGCGCAAGGTAGTGGAAGACACCACTGACGATGAAGCGCATGCGAGAGATCACAAGGCAGGTTGGCGGGCAGGTGTGCTCCCAACAGGGTGCTGGAATCAGTGACTCCTGCTAGTAGTACGGCCACATCACGAAATCGTGCGAAAGGTGTTCGACATCTACATCGACAGAAAGACAGGGGTGCCACACACCGACGCGCCGATGGAAGAAGCGAGGTGCATAGCATGAAGAGCCAGCGCTGCCTCGGCTCGTGCCTCGCAACGTGTAGGTTGACCGAGACCATCCGCTGAGCCCACCGAGCTGAAGGGCATTTTGGGGGAGCTCTTCCTCCTCTCCCTCCTCCCTCTATCTCTGGCAGGATCGTCTCACCAGGACAAAGTCTCACCAAGTGCAGGCGTCGCAGAATCCTGCCTCTCCAAACAGTGAGCAGCTGCCAAGCAAGAAGCTTGTGTGGCGGACTGGTTGCTGGTGCAATCTAGCATGACTCAGCATGACATTCTGACATACGGGCCGAGTTGGCTCCTATTTTCACCTGCAAACGGCAAGCGCTTCAGATGTGGCGCAGCTTTGAGCTTGACAAAGTGGAAAACTCCTCTGCCAAGCTCTCGTTGCGCACATCGGTGGACATGCCGCCGGTCTGCTGCAGCGTGCCTGCCTCGCGACAAAATAGGGCCCCACAGAAGATGTGAGCACTGGTTTTCCGAGCCATCGAGCCTGGCACGGTGCCTGTCTCTGTCCTGAGGTCGCTTCACGATGCAGCCCTTCTCGGTGGACCTGTCAAAGGTCAAAATAAGCAACGGCCCAGAAGTGGGAACGCGGCATCTGGCTCACAAGTCATTGGTTGAGGTCCTCCGGTGGTGCTGGTGGCACAGTTTGGTGGACCACGGCCAAGCAGAGCCCACAGACCCCAAGCCGATCAGATCCCGTTGGGGAGCATGGAATTTTCAGTTGTGCAGAGGTCTTCACTGTTTCTGCCACGTGATTCGTGCGGAGGCTCTGCCAGAGGCTGGAAATCCACCCGCTCATAGTCTCTGCGCTTGTGCCTGCAGCTAGCATCTCTGAGAGATGCGGTTTCTTGAAGGACACTTTCGTGATCGAAGTTGCTCTGCTTGCGAACCAGGGGGATGGCTGCATTCTAGCTTCTTGGTGGTGATTATTAGACTGCTCGACAGATTGTACATTGTAGCAGTAAGCGGCAGCTTCTCGGAATTGGATCCTAGAACGAGGCACGTGGCCGATCAGATCCTCAAAGCGGCCTGGCCCTCGGTTCGTGTTCGCATCTGGCCACCTTTGTGCCTCATCTTTCAGGCCCCGATCCGATCTATCACAGCTCGGTGAACTTGGACTGGGATGTCCTGTGCTCGGCTTTCTCTGCCTCATGGGCAGATAGAGTTTCTAGCTCTCCAGTGGCTCGGTGGACACTGCAGAAGCAGTTTGCCTGTCGTCGCGGCTGCCCTCGGCCTGAAATCGTGGAGCCGCCTCAATGCCCCGGATAGCTTGACTTTCAACTTGCCACGTCCAGCTGGAGCTCTCAAGAGCGAATCCCGAATCACCTAATGAAGCATGAGTCCCTGAACCTCTCTGGCTTTAACAACCAGTTTGGAGATTGTTCAAGTTGTGAGGGCAAGCAACCGGCTTTCCTAAGACTCATCATCTAGTTCGATCTGAGGACGAGGGCGACATGGCTTTCAACTGCCAGGCGGCTGATGGACAGTATGCAGTTGCTTCAGAAGGAAAGCAGCAGTTCTGGAGTGCGCAGGTAATCCGAACAGGAATGGGATTCAGTGAGGAAACTTTCGCGGAGCTGAAGGAGAAGCTGCCACAGGTGCTGCACCAAATGTTTTGTAACATCCCCAAGCGTTGCGAAGGCTTGTGCGGCGGAGTGCTCTGCTTGCTACTCTGTGCAACTCTAATGCATCGATGTGAAATGATGACGACATGACGTGTTTACCGACGGGTTCGCCACCGTTCCGGACTGCGATTTGCAGCCTCCACTGGCAAGGATACCCTAGACGACTCGCAGTGCCGCCTCCGACTGACACATGTTTTTAGGGGTGCTGGTCGCTGCTGCTACTGCAGCTGCTGCTACCGCTGCTGCCCTCTCGCTCGTGCTCTTGTTGCTGTGTTTGGACTTGGTGTTCTTGTTGTCCTTGTTTTCTTGCTGTTCTGTTTTTTTTTTTTCATGCTGTTCTGTTTTATTTTGGTTGTTCTGGTTGTTCGGGTTGTTCCTTTTCCTTTTTTTCCTGTTGTTCTTGTTGTTCTTGCTGATCTTGTTGTTCTTGTTGTTCGTGTTATTCCTGTTGTTCCTGCTGTCCTTGCACTTCCTGTTGTTCCCGCTGTTCTTGTTGTCGTTGCTGTTCCTGCTGTTCCCGTTGTGATTCTTGTTCTTGCTGTTGTTCCTGTTATTCCTTCGTTCCTGTTGTTCCTGTTCTTATTGCTGTTGTTCCTGTTGTTGTTCTTCCGGTTCTTATTCTTGTTCTTCACCTTGCAGGCGTCTGTAGCCGCCGTGGGTGTGTGGATTTCAGGCCTGTTGTACTTGTATGCCAAAACTCGTTCTTGTTGCAGTTGCCGTCGTCGTCACCCTGGTGGTCGTGGTCGTCGTGGTTGCGGTTGATGTTGTTTTGAGGTCCTTGGGATCCCTTTGAGTAGACCATCAGAAATGCGGCCCAGCCAGTTTGAGTGGTGTTCGGTGTTCTTGTGTTTAGTAATTGTAGTCTTTAGTATGTTTGCGGTTTCGTCGTCTTCTTCAATCTTCTTAGTTTCCATTATGCTGCTCGACTCATATTTGAATGCAGTGAACAGCTTAACCGTTACATCTCAGACCGAAACCCCAGCTTTACATTGTTTTGGCTACCAGTCATCATTAGCCATAAATTCTTAAAGCCCTTGAGTGGATGCGCTGTCGCATATCGTTTTATGGTGATGCTGAAAGATTGTGATCGCATATGCACATGCTGCTGACATCGCTGGGCTCCTGGCGTATCCTTCTTTGCTGCTTTCAGTGCTCAGTGCTTTCCTGACATGGCGTCCGGCTGATTCAACATGAGTCGACCTCACAAGACCGATTGGATGCCACTTGTCCATTTGACTCGGGTGGTAGGTCAAATCCGTTGGGGCTGTTCCAAACACCGAGAACAGGACCGGAGTGGAGAACGAAGGTCAAATATGTGACATCCATTCGCAGTACTTGTGCATGCTATGGGCCCCGTTTGGGCACAGTGCGAAGAAGTGGGGAGGGTCCCAGGTCAACTGTGGAGCAAGTTGTTGTTAGCATAACGGAGCGACTCGCGAGTGTGTGGGCAGCAGTGTTTCCAAGAAGAACTGAAGAACCAGTGCAAAGAGTCTGCCATGGAATGAGTTTGTGCGACACATTCTTGTCCTGTAGTAGAGCTGTGCTCTTGGAGGCGATGGTGGCTGCTGTTGGCAGATCCCAGCGGCTGGAGCTTCGATGTTTGGACGGATCAGGCAAGGGTTTGCATTCAAGCAGAAGGAACAAACGTTATCTTGTCGTTCACAAGTGTTGTGAATGGGAAAGTACCGTTTCAAGAAATTCGGAGCAAGATTCGCCGGTGCCAGACAGAAGGTACCAATGCAGAGATCAGCATGCACTTTGCCACAGTAATGCCAGAGGCGGGCGGTTTGCACGTCTGCTGGTCACAACATGTTGCGCTCGGCCAGTCTTCAGCCCCTTGTGATGCACTCAGGCATGCTTGAGCATCACGGCGTCCTCGGCTACCTGCCTTGCGCCGAAGAGCGAGGCTAGTGTGGACTGGGCAGCGTGCATATTGTCATCTTTCGTTGAGCAGGGCTTCAACTGACCATGCATACTTGTGCTTCCTGGAAATTGACTGTGGGCTTTATCCCCGACCTCGTCTTGGTAAGCAACTGCTCGTGATCCTTGCACACGACATGCGTTTTAACAGATGTCGGGTTTGTTATGGATTACTGGTGTAGTTGGAGGAGGTCTACTTGAAGAAGCATTACATAGTTCCGTAATTGATGCGAGAAGCAGAGGGCGGAGTGATTAGACTTCATGTACGAAGCTCTGCCACAGATTTGGTGGGGAAGACCGCGGAAGTGAGTGGACCAGTCGACGGCTCTTAATGAGCTACATCACCCGGCATCGTTCGACAGGCTTGGAGTTTCAATCCTTTCGTGGAGGCGAGCGCCGGGATCCCGGTAACCGACGGCTCAAGGCACCGACGGCTTTGCTGACATCTTTGCTGAGGTTCACAGCCGCGATCCACGCCTCGGCAGCATCGGCCGCAGTGCCAAAGTCGCCACTGCACAGCCAAGCTCCTGGCAGTCTGAGCACTGTCGCTGACATGCTGCTTGCAGCATGTCTGAGGACCGAGACTCTGACCAACTGCCATGCAGATCCACATTGGGGACAGCCTATGGTCCTCAAGCTGGTGCCGGAGCCCGCGGGCCCAGAGAACTTCCGGAACAAGCCTAGACGCTCGTCGTGGCTCCTAGGGATGAACAAGGCCCGGGCTCTTCTTGCGCATCGTCGTCTGCTCAGAAGCGCTCGGTGTGACGAGGACGGGAGGGCGGGTGAGCAGGAAGATGGCGGCGAAATGCTAAGAAAAGCGTCGCTTCCAAAGGGCTTGGGACGAGCTCGCGGAGCTGGTAATGGAGCTGCCCGAGGCTCCACCGTTGAAGCGTGATGGCTTGGCCGCTTGTCTGGCGGACTAGAGTGAGCTCATGTAGTTTGCAGGCGCTGAAGCTTGCACAAGGGTCGGTGGAGCCCCATCCTTATCTTGTTAAGCGCCGAAGCTTGGCTATACAGTTGTGATCACATCATTGCTGTCAAAACTCCCAAGGCGGAAGTGGACGATGAAGCGGCCCGACACCTAATCGTAGAAACGAGACAGCTGGGACGACACGATTCAACAGAGTGTCACTGTGTTCACATTTGTTGCAGCGTTGGTTGTCGTCTTCTCGATCCCCTCTCTTCTGGGACCCCGTGCATGGACGTACTGCAGATTCGCGCTCAGCAGCTGATCTCGCAAAAGACCTTGGATTGGTTTAAGCCTTTGTTCGACAAGGAGCTAGAGGATGCTGCGGAGACAGCGGAGTGCACCGGCTTTCAGATAGATTGGGATGACACAGAACACGTCGCAGAGGAACGACCTCTGGAAGAAGGTAGCGGCCTGACTTGCGGCTTTGAAACTATCGAAATACCGGATGGAGAAGAGACCACGGTGCGTGTAGAGTACGCCCGTTCCTCCTGTGCTACTGCCCATGGAAACGCAATTTGGGCAGCCTCTGTTGCAGCTGCGCTGCATGTCGGGAAGCTGCTCACTCTTGCCGACTCTTTCCGCGAAGGGTCCAGCATGCATTCCGTGGATTTCCGCAAAATTCGTATCATTGAGCTCGGCGCTGGCATCGGGATTCCATCCCTCTTCCTGGCGCAGAAGTTAGGCGACCTGCAGCACGCTGATGCGCAAGCGGTTGCCGGCGAGAGTCTCCGAGCTTCTCGTTGCAGGCAAGTCTACATCACGGATGCTCGATCATATCATAACATTCGCCAAATTCTCTTCTCCACCGTCCGCCATCCTTACTCGCATCTCCTTCGCGTGGCTCCACACAACTGGGGAGAAGTGGAGAGCTCCGGGACAATGCGCTTTCTAGATGACGAATGCGAGGGTTTAGCGTTCGATTTCCTGGTGATTGCCGACTGTGTGTATAATCCGGCCTTTCATCAGCCACTGCTGGATAGCATTTGTCATGTAATGGCGACGCATGGTCGCGCTGTCATATCATTTTCCCTGCATCCGAACACGGACGAGAAGAATGTGTGGGCTTTCCTTGATCACGCTCGGCATCGAGGTCTGAAAGTACATGACCCTGCGGGTCAAGCACAGAAGGACTACGAACCCGTGATGCAAAAGCTGGGGCTCTGGCAGTCAAACATGGGCAGGCGGTATATCGTACACATTCGAGAGTTATCCTGGAGATAATCAGCCCTCATACTTGCACACTATTGGTCATCCCGTAAGGTGGAGTAAAGTGCTTGTTGCTTCGTCTGAGCGAATGCCGAATCGCGGTCACCATCCTGGATCCACCAACTCCTATGCAGGCTCAAGAACAAGGACAAGCACCGCATGGCGCAAGAAAAGCGTGTTGAAAAGAGTCTTGGTTTGATAGCGCCGGCCAGCACCGACTGTGATTCTGGGCAGCCCACTTGCATGTCCCAAGTTGATGTGAGTACGTGATATGGATGCGAAGCTCTCGCTTTTGTTCTCCAAGACTGCAGATGTCAATCAATGGTCCAGTGGTGCTTGTAAATACACGTTTTCTGTCCAGGCTGATTGACATGAAGCGGCACGGCGAGTCTGAAATCTTCCTGAGCTTTGCACAGGCGGCCGAAGGTGCTTGAAGCCACGACATTCCTCTGATTCCACAGCCCTTGCAGGTAGGCGGCAATGTTGCTGCTCCCTCCTCAGAGTCTTTTGGCTCAGTTCCAAGCAAGCGGGGCCAAAAAGGGTGTCGCATCGTCACTTCAGGCCTCTGCCTTCGAGATCGCAGAGCACACCTTGCCCGTGCAGGAGGGAGCCATGCCGAGGCCGCTCCACCCGAAAGCTTGAGCCCCAGCACTGAACGCATTTTGAGTTGAAGCACGATGCAGACCCTTCACCTGCAAATCAGGCTACACTGGATGGCAGCCCTGTCAGCCCAGCGGGAACAAGATCGAAGCACACGCGCCCTGCTTGGACGTGAATCGTGAAACTGACAATCCGGCCTTGGGCACGACTTAAATTCTGCGGTGCCGCCTCGAATGCCGTAAATCTTCAAGGACCATGCAGCTTCCGATCGCTCCTGGCTATACACTGCCGCCACAGCCTTCCGTGCAAGGACATCCTGCACGCACGTGCAGTTGTATGCAAGCTGACAGTTTCGGGGGACATCCAGTCGTGGCCCAGCCAGGAATGCAGCATTTAGAGCAGGTGCTTCAGGCGCATGGCCAAGTCCCTGCCTAAGTTTCATTACATAATGTAGGCGGCACCTGAACTTGTAGTATTGTCTGGCCAGCGAAGCAAGGAGATTCCAGACATCATCGCGCAGCGTTATGGGCCGCCGCGGCAGCCAAGGCTGTGCGGGGCTGCGTGACGTCTGCATGTTTCCGATTCGGTAACAGAATCGTGTGCGGGAGAGAAACTCCTGGCTTAGTTTATGGGCAGACAGAGTTGATCGGCCAAGGATGCAGTTCGTGAAGAGCTCGTTCTGCTTGGGGATTGCCATCTAATTTTTTTCCACCGTGGGGTGGGTCGAGAAAAATAGGGTTTAGTCATGTCAAGTCCATGCCTGCGTCTAGGTGCCGTCAACATCTCTAATTAAACCTTGAACTCTTCATGGGTTTTACTCGGGGAGCGCAGTGATGCAGAGAGCGAGATTGTGGGATTTGCGTATCAGGGGCCTCATAGACCGGGGGGTGCCGCCCCGGCACTAGGCTAAAGTGCACGAGACTATTCCGTGGGCGGATCAAGCAAGGCAAAAGTCGTTCAGATTCTGTAAGCAGCGCACAAAACGCAAGCGGAACAAATAAGTACAGAAGCGGGCTTGCTTCCTTCCTCCGCCCTTCCTTCCTTCCCAGCCTGCCTGAATGCATCTGAATGCCTGCCTTGTTTCGACTTATTTAGGACGCCGTGCTTCTGATCCCCCCGTTACGCTTCCCAGACCAAGAAATGGACGCACGTATTGCTACTCCCCACCTCGAAGGTGGGTCCATTTGGAGGATCACCCATGACCAGCGCAACATGGAAACAGTCCTTTGTGCTCCTTGAGGTTCCAAGATCTTCCTCCACCTCCGGCACTCCGGCCCATCGCCCCGCCATCCACAGAGGACTTCTCTTGAGCATTGCAAGCCGACTTGACTCGGACTTCAATTCAGGAGCTCTCCCAGGCTTTACAGCGTGCTCCAACACAAGGGGCTATCGTGAAAGGCAGCGTGCGAGAGGCTCAACTGCAACACACCAGGAGCCGATGGCGCGGAATTTAGAGATCCTGAGACTCAGGCCTTTGAGCTTCCTCAGCGCTCCCGGCAATCCTCATCTCGCGCTGCTCTCAGCCTGGCCGAGGAGCTTTGATGCATTGTTGATGCAATGATGGCGTGGCTTCGAGGCCTGGCTTGCTCGTCGGTGAAGCTGATTCTCTCAACTGGCACTCTCCTGGCTGGAATGCCGAATTGCGACGTCGACGGGGCACACGAGTCATGCCTGTTCTGAAAGCTTTCGTCGGGATGTTCGTCTGGAGCGTCAACGAGCAAGTTCATTTGCCAGCTGCCCGCCTCCTTCGCTTGAGAAGCTCATCTGTGGCTGCGTGGAGACGGACATGCAGCTTTTTTCCCTTGAAGGGAAGCTTTGCGCAGTGGTCCGGCCCCTAGAAGCTTTGGACAGTTGTGAAGGTGCAGCTGAAACATTTGGGTCCGTCGGCAAGAAAGGCAAAAGGACGCCGTGCCGGACGGAGTTCATGAGACGACTCTGGTCTCAAAGTCAGTGCGAGTGGAGTTTTTCACCTTGAGATGGGAGGATCTCTTTGATGCAGCGGGTACGATGCCAATGTGCCAATGTGGAGCGAATTCTACTTCCACACAGGATGGCGCAACCTGCTTGCGATGCCCGACCCTCTTGAACCAGCTGTCTCGCATCGTGCCATCTTCTGATAGTCGCCAGCTCGGGAAATCGACGAATTCCGCAGCGCGTCGCCCACTGAAGCGGCAGCTGGTGAGACCGTGACAGATCGGCCAGTGGTGCCTGCACACGGGCACATGGCTCGATATTGAGGCCGCGGCCGCTTTTGATGCTGTTGTCCTAAGCTTGTCCTGTCAGTCACCGGCCATTGGCCACTGGCTCCAAGCTGCAGGCTGCAGAGCAGCTTGTCGTCGCTTGAGATACTGTTTTTGTGCGTGTATCGCCAAACGGCGATGATGATCGTTCGTTATGCCTGCACGACAAACAGGAACAGGCCGATTCAAGCCCAGTGAGCGGCACCTGCAACAGCCGGATTGACTCGACCGTGTTTTCCTGTGTGTGTGTGTGCGTGTGTGGACCTCTGTTGCCAAGAGTGAAACCACAGAAGCTTCAAACCAAACAACCTGAATTCTGGTTTCGATTTTTCGGAGCAGGGGGCTGAGGGCCCGTCGCTGGTACCTCAGCCAACGAATACTACCAGTGACAGGGCGTGGAAACGTACCTGCGAATCAAGGGGGAGGGTGCACCTGGGTCTTCGTGACGGTTGGTGGCCCGCCGAGCACGCCACCTTCACACTCGCCGAGGCCGCCGGTGCAGCATGATGGTCTTGAGCCGACTGTTCGCTGCGAGAAACTCGCTAGGATGTGAACTTAAGCATCACTGGCAAGCGGCGCCCGGCGACCGGAGCACAGCTCAAGAAGGCCGTCCAGTGGTCGAGCCGTGGCTATATGGTGCTTCGCTCTCCTGGCAAAGTGACCTGCCAGGCCCGTAAATTTACGACCTGGGCAAAAGAGCGTTTGGTCGCCGTGGTGCCGCGATGCGGCTCTGTCACGCACGTGGTGCGCGGCCCAGCTCTTGCAACGCTCGGTGCAGTCACCAGTGTCGCGACGTCCCAGGAAGTGCGCGTCACCCGGGACAACCAGCGGTGGGCGCAGGACATGTCCGGCGCATGGACATTGAGTCCTCCCCCTCACCGTGCGGAACTGGTGGTGCACGACCCAGTAAACATCAGTAAACCGTCGTTGAATACGTGTGCTCCGCTGGCGCGTGCAGCTAGAACCCAAGGCCGGGGCTGCCCCGCAGCACATAGAGCACAGCAGGGACTGAAGCTAATTGTGACCAGGCATCCGGGACGAGCGCTCCGCCGGAGTAGACCTAGCTCGCTGCGAGGGCTGCGCGAGCTGGTCTACAAAAGGATTGCCGTGTCGCGCGTCTCTGCTCTCAGACGCGAGCTTCACCCCTTGCAGGTACAAAACATGTGCTTATAAGGTAGCCCCGTGTGGTGCCAAGATTGGCACCAAAGACAGGCCGTCTGTGGTGTCCAGCTTGGACTGGTGAGCCTTGAGTCCTGATCGGTTCCGGAACCCCGAGAGCGTCATGCTTTCAAGATACATCAAGCATGAAACAACATGTCAGTGGCTGCGACATGGATGTCTATGCGTATGGCCAAGGGCATTTACGAATTTTGTTGGACTGTCATCGGCCTTGGCTCGCAGTTCATGCAGTGCCGTATGAGGAGGAGTTTCCGCTTCTGCTAGGGCTAGTGGCCAGGCATTCCCAGACCGAGCGCATAAAGAGCATCCCTGCATATCCCATCGCAGTTGCTGCGCGGCAGCAGATGAGCAGATGGAACTTCTCCGAGCTGAGCTTGCGCAGGCGGAGGGAGTGCGGGAACTTCAGCTGAATTCACTGTGTCTTTCGAGTCATGTAGCAGTCGCAGGCGCGGCGGCGGCAAAAGGCGGCAGAGGCAAAGCTGAGTGCTTTGGAGGACGAGGCCGGGATGTGTCAGGCCGATGTCTGAGGAGCCGAGGAGGAGTCTTGTCGGTTTTGAGGCCTCGGAACTACGGCAGCTGGAGTCCGCCAAGAAGGTGCAGAAGAGTTCAAACCATATCCAAAGCTTTGAACTGTTAACCCGGCACCGGAGTCAGGCCGGTACGAAGACGTCAGCTCAGGATGTGGAGGCGCTCTGCGTGTTGCAACATCTTGCGACGCTTTGCAGCTGAAGTTTGGCCGAAGGTGCCCCTGATTTCAGCAGCTGGTTTGCTGCAGCTTCCTTGGCAGGAGAGTCGGGCAAGACGGCCAAGAGCAGGCTGATAATAGGTCTGCCAAATCCTCGCACTTGCGAGGCAGCGCTGTGCACTTCCTTCAGAGGCCTGGGACACTCCGAACTTGGCGAGCGTTCGTCGTCATATGTCGGGATGTGTTACGCAGCTCTTAATCTGCCAGGCTGGCGCAGTTCCCTGTGAGCTTTGGCCGCGAATGGCTCAGTTCGGGTGTTCTTGGTTTGGGAACTTGAATTCGTGTCTCCAGAAAGTTCCCACGACTTGCGTTCTGTTGGGCTCGCATAGCGTTCCGGATAGACTTGGACTCGGAGCTGTCGCTCGAGGTTGGCGGCAGTTCGGGCTCAAGCACTAGACTCCCCCCTGCATTGCCTCGCCCTCACATGTCAGGTATGTCTACTCCTCCATTGCTCGGGCTGCGGTTCCCGAGGCTCATTATGCGAGACAGCGTACAACAGTTGCATGTTGACTCGGCCGAGGCAGTGATCGCAAAGCTCAAGCAGCAATTCGAAGCAGCCATGCAGTCATGCTCGAAGCACGGAAGCACAAGGCTGGGTACAGCTTGACCAACGAGCTACTGTTTTCTTTTACCTGCTGGGTCGAGGCGTGTTACGCTTCAGCGTCGTTCTCTGAGCATGTTGTGTGCGCTGGAAGTGGTGAAGCTGGACTCGGCTGCACGGTCAGGCCTTGACCGGGACTTCCAAGCTTGCTTGTGCTCTTCTCAGTCAAGCGCTCTAAATAAGAGACCATTGCAAGTCAGCTGACGGAACGGCTTGTTTGCCAGTCATGGATGGCAGGTTCGATCTGTGCCGCATCTTGGCAGCGGCCTTGCGTGGCAGCCGAGATGTCAGCTTGGAGCTGGACCAGGTGCTGCACAGGTGAGCTGACGCCGAGAGTGTGCGACCGAGGGGCGCTCCGCATCAGGTCTGGGGAGTGGCTCAACAACAGGGAGATTACAGCCCGGTCACGTAGGCGGCCAAGTTTTTTTTGCTCCCCCACTTCCGACCGGACCTAAGCTCAGGGCAAACCGGAACCTCAAGTCCCGACACGGCTTCTCGTCACGAGCCAAGTCATACCCTTAGTGTTGTGCTACAGCTGCCCTGCCTCCGTACGCAGGTGCATCATGGACATCCTCCTTCCGCCTTCTTTGAGCTGCGAGAATCACGAAAGGCGCCAAGCTCGGGCTGGGTTACGAAGTCAGGCTGTTGTGACGGATGGGTTTCAAGTGATCCCGGGTCTGAGCGTCGCAGGCCATCAAAGGGATCCTATGGCTTTCATGACGGCCTTCACAATCTCATTTGGAAGGGTGCGGCTTGGCTGAATCGGAAGGTAGGAGCAAGTGCCCGAAGTCTGCTACAGCGCTCCGAGGATCGCACCACCGACAAGGACGACCTGGTGCAGCCTGGCATCATCCAGCTGGTCCGGCACCCAGATCAACAGTTGGCACCTGCGGCTTAGAGTTGCATTTTGTAGCTCGCAGAGCCTGACAAGGAGCTGCGTGTGGGCCAATTGTACGTGTTTCCGGACTGGGTGCCGGCCTTAATGCGTTGTTGAGGTTCGAGCATGCACACATGCACAGTTTCTCCGGGACTCTGTGTTCGGGCTTACGCAATTACGGCTTTAGGGGTTGAAGGGTTATAGGGTTTGGGGATGTTTGGGGTTTAGGGCTTTAGGGTTTCAGGTAAAGTCAGTTGGACCTCAGCCTAAAGGCCTAATCCAAGCCCTTTACCATCAAGACTTGCCTAAAGCTCGAGTAAAAGGGCCCGTAAAGGAAGCCTTAACCGAACTCGAAAAGGGCAACATACACGAAGCCTCGACCGAGTGGCCAAGATGGAAAGAAGCGGCAAGCGGAAGCCCAAAATCATCAACTCAGCCTTCCAAACCCTGAGCCGAAAAGCCCCTTGAACCCAAACACTATGCTCCATTACTGTACACCCTATTCCCACACCGAGTAAACCCGGTAAGCCCGAACAAACGCTTCCCCTCAACCCAAAACCGCAAACGCTCAACCAAATCTCCAAAGCCTTAAAATCTGGAAAAAACACATTCCCTAAGCCACCCTAAACCCTAAACGGACTGGCAAACCCAACCTCGGCATTTGCCCGTCCAAACCCTATAACCTCCCAAAGCCTAGAACTCAAAACCCAAACTCTCTTGAACCCCAAACTCTAGACCAATGAAACTGCCGACCCTCCTCCGCCTCCTGAATGCCAAACCCAAACCGCGTGAACCCTAAACCCCAACCTGCGAAACTTCCTAATTAAATGCCTTATCTCCCTGGCTCGCTGAGCCCTGTGCAGTACATATCCGGTGCGCTGAGGAGGTCAAACCGTAGTCCCTAAACATCCCTAAATCTTTGTGCTGGGCGGAAACCGGTGGGGCTGGTGCTGTGTAGGCTCGTGGCGTGTTGTTCTTAAACCTGGGTGTTGAGTCGAGAAACGACGGTCTTGAGATTTCCGAGCGTGAAGTTTGACAGGTACAGACGTTAACGTACCCCTTCGAAGGCAGTGGTGAGAGGCGCTGGATTGCGGCGACTGTCGCACTCGTTGAACAAAAAGGGTCAGACACGGTGGCAGACGCAGGGCCTATATTATAAGATATTATAAGGCAATATATGTCAACAGATAGTAGCGCTACAGACAGGATAGACAACCCAACAGCAAGGTTGTTCTTGCGAAGATCGAAGCTCTGCTTTAGAAGTCTTTGAAGTGTCGTCTCATGCGAGTGGCCCTCAAAGTTATTGAACAAGAGCCTTGGTTTTGAGCGGATAGGCACTTGATATGCAAACGTGGGTACCGCATAGTGTTTGCTGGTTCCCCGGCAGATAGAGTACTCGGTCACTCGTTACACGCAGTTTCGCACATGTTGAGAAGGCATTTCCAGAAATATGCTTCGTGCCTTGAAGGAGTAGCCGCGCTGTGGTCATCGCAAATTGCACTGTATTCTGGATTTGCCACTGTCCTGCTTTGAAATTCTCGCTACCATCGGAGCTATGCAGCACTCAAGGATGAAGCGTCCCAGCGCTGTGGATGGTGCTGCCACTAAACTGGCCAGCGTAAAGAGCTCCAAGAGCCGAAAGGCAGATGAATCGGATGGCTCTCAAGCAGTCGCAGTGTCCGTGAAGGTCGCGGAGCTGCGATCCTCTGGGTATGTGGATTTCGAGGCTTGGCTGAAAGACTCCCGAAATGTGTACGTGGGACGCCGCGGCAGAATATTCATTCACAACGATGGTGGCAAGAGAATCTTTCACTATCCGGGGTCGAGGTGGCAAAATCCTTACGCAGTGGGAGCATCACTTTCTCGCCAAGATGCATGCTCGAAATACAGATCCGCCCTTCTTGATGGCACGCTGAAGGATCCGCAGGACTGCTGCACATGGTGGGTTTTCCCTTTTGACTTCAGTCAGACACAGGAAACCTAGGGTGATAGAATATCATGACTCTCGCATTTGCATGCTGTACCAGGACGGAGCACCGCTTCACACGAAGCTGCGAGAGCTGAAAGGTTATCGACTGGGTTGCTGGTGCAAGCCACTAGCATGCCATGCTGAGATTTTGGCTGAGTTGGCCAATTCGTCTTAGGGTCTTAGGTCTCAGTTCACCCAGCCTCAAGCGGAAAGTGCTGTGCTGCTTTGGGCTTCACAGAGCAAGCTCTCGTTGCATGCGGTAGGCAAGGAGGCTAGTACAGTGAGCCACCCTTCCGAACAAAACAAGCTCCCCCGAAGATGCAAGAGTCCGCCAGAGGTCTAATTACCAAATACCTGGACCCGTTTGGCTTCGGTGAGTTGTCGTCTACTTCGTTTCCTGTTGTCCCTAAAACAGCGTGTTGGGGCGCACCGGTATTGGTGGTGACGGAGCAGGATCAAGACAGCCAGCAGAATGAGTACGTCGAAGGCTGTGTGCATGTTAGATTGACATGGCGTGTCATCGGTATGACGAAACTTCCTCGAACTGGGGTACCGGTCACCAACCTGCAGATTCATCTGTCAGACACTGGTCGCCCAACACCAAGTCGAGTTGTCTATCTTGAAGCGATCCAGATGTGACCTGTGCCAAAGAGCACCGCGCTAGCAAATGCCATGTTTGCATTCCCGTCCGGAGCTGGTTCCGACCTTCTGGACACTCAGACGAAGCATTCGCGCTTGTTGACAGCAGTCTGAATACATGCGTATGTCGTAAGCTACTACAGAGACCTGTTAGTGGCTTGTCATGTCAGACTTGGGCGTCAGATGCGTCAGAGATCAGAGTGAACAGCAGAGTGGGTCAGGATTACGAAGAGGCGAGAGAGCCTCCGTCAGCATCCTCATACTTGGAGGATGGCAGTCCCAGGCAGGGCTGCAAAGCCTTCCCTCGTGAGTTCTGGAAGCCAAACCCGAAGGCAAGCTGCGACACGACGTTGGGCTCGACGAGGTGGGAGTGCCGAGGGCGTGAGCTTCTCGCTCTTGGGATCCCTCTTGGCATCGTGACCCAAACAACGGTATTTAGGCGTCTCCGCACTGTCGCCAGGCGCTGAAGAACAGCCCTCGACGAACAAGGCCGACACAGCAGGGCATGCTATGTCAGGGAAATGGTGTCCAATACAACCACGACGACGACCGCAGAGGTGCGAGGGCTGGACCCTGCTCTTGCGACAGGGCATTCATGGATGGAGGCGGCCGTTGTGAATATTTAGCCACTTGAAGCTGCCTGGATCTGCCTGGCCTCCATGCCAGGCAGCCAAAGACAATGCTGCAATCGAATGGCTGCGAGGCTTCATGAACAAGTACAGGACATCTCTCAACTTGCATGCTGCCAATCACAAAGGGAAAGCTTTTTCGGTGCTCTGGTCCCACTGGTTGCGCTGGCCAGGACTCTGGAAATTCCTGCTCAGCCCGTTGCTGCAGGCAGTGAATGTAGCAGAACTGATGCTGCTTGCTGTGCAAATCAAGAGGTGGTCAGTGCATTCCAGGACACAGCTCGAGTGCCCAAGTCGTCGCCTCACTGCAGAATTCCTGCCTGCAGTTGCATCGCCAGACCAGGGATGGGCGATTTGGGAGGTAGATTCGTGGCATTGAAAGCAATGAGATTCGTGGAATGTGCTTCTGCTGCTTTCGCGCACATCAACTATCATCAACTGCTTTTGCCCAGCAGAGCCTGGCGAAGGTTTCTCTCTCACAGTGCCGGAGGCTCTGTTGAAAGTGCTTGCTCCTCTGAAAACCTATCATCCACTGTGGCCCATGTCAAATTCGGGGTCAAAGTGCACACAGGCCTCACTGGATCCAGCTTCTTGTTCTATGTAGATGCGGGAGGCTGAACCCTTGCAAGGGCAAACGATGCAGCCTAGAAGCAATCAAGATAATCAAGCATCTCCGTTGCTCTACGAGTTTTTCCACCGCAAGCGGTCTTGAGACCCCGAGCCCATGCAACCATGCAGTTGTTACTTGTAGTGACTTCCCAAGGTCAGGCATCTTCTCTTTCGAGAGGAGGATGTCGGCGGAAGCTTGCAGAAATTCATATCCTGACGGCCGCTCAGATCTCGCCCCGCCCCATTTCGCCCCATTTTTCCAAAGAGCCCAAGACACTTAGAGACTTGATGTCGGTCACGGCGGACGGAGGCCTCGAGAAGCGCAGGGAAGGGTCCCACAGGTCCGAAGAGGCAGGCGAGATGTGCTGACGGAGCATCGGCATTACATGATCATGATCCTTCGATCTGTGTCCTGACAGTCGTGGCATCAGTATCGGCTGCAGATAGACGATGTGATGTTGGTCGGGAGTGTGAGGTGCTAGTGGCGGCGCAGTCGACCACTACAGCGCACAGCCGAGAGTCGCATGATGCACCGGTGCCCTGAATTGCAGGGTCTGCACAGCCTCTCCAGGCCATCCTCGCTGCCTCCTGAGGATTGCTTGCTAATGTCATATGTTCCAGCTTCATATAGTATGACGGCCTGCCTCCAACTGTAAGCGAGCAGTGCTGTCGCATTGTCACCGCTCTGGAGGACAGTCGCGGAATGGCAGCCGTGCGCACGCTGCCAAAGCGAACGTGTCGTGCCAAGTGCTTGCAGTTGTTAGACGCTGGCTTGCAAGCACCCTCAGACACTCGCTACGTACTTTAATCATGAGGGTCTCGCCGCCAGTCCTTGCGACCGTCGCAGACTGCGACGAAATTCTTTCGCCTGCTGTGCTTCGCACTCGTGCAGCATTCGTTTACGAGCTGGATCGAGCCCTGAGAAGCTTAACAAGATGTGTCAAGGAAAGCGCGCTGCCGCAGCGCCGGTGGTGAGAATGCGCCAACCGAAGAGATTGCTGCAGCGGCTGGCTCAGCAGCTCAGAGTTCACATCAGTTCTTCATGTAGGTACGTGTGGTACATGCTGCTGATGGGGTTGGCGTCAGTAAGTACAACAGACTACAACAGTATACACTCGCCATGGTCACAGTCATAACCAGACTGAGAGCATTGATGGCCGATTACAGCCTCAGCCGTTGTCCTCCTCCTCCTCCTCCTCCTCCTCCCCATCATCATCATCGCCGTCACCATTGCGAGGACAAGCAAAGATCGCCAGCACAAGCCAAAGTCAAAGCGAGAGTCTTCTTAGCCTCAGTGGATGTTACATGCTGGGGCTTGGGCCGACTGGGGCGTTGCGACCCAGGCTGTTGCTCGGGCTCGGCGGCGAGCCCTGGAGCAGAAGCGACGACAAGCCCAGACCTTAGATGAGAATCAAGTTATTCTTTTGTTCTTCTGCTAGAAGGACCTTTTTTTTGTAAAGTCTGTGCCATGAAGAGCTTCTCAACATGCTTCACAATGCTTCTCCGTGTGGCGTACAGAGAGGGTCCGAAGAAACGGTGGCGGTGTCGCTGCTGCTTCTGCTGCTGTGGCTCGTGTCGATTTTTTGTTGTTTTATGTAGCTGTTGCAGCTCTACTCGTGGGTTTCTAGATCATAGTGCCAGTTTCTGTTGTGCCAGCTGCTCTTTGCCGTGCTCCAGCAACTGCTGCTTCATTCTCCTCCCCCTGCTGCCCCTCGTCCTAGCCCCTAGTCCTTGCTTGCCTTTTGTTCTGCTGCTGTCGTCTTTGGCATTCCTGTCGACGGCGCCGTGCGCCGCGCTCGCTACTACGCAATAATCATAGAAGATATAGAAGTTGTAACCAACCGAACCCCGAAAGATCCCGAAAGCACGTGTAAAGCTCGGTGGTTGACAGGGGCGTGCTTGGCCAAGCCTGTCACCCTCGCAAGTGCAGTCTGGACACATGCATTCCAAGCACGCTTCCTGCTACAAGGATCAAAGGGGTTTTGTATCATGTCAGGCGCCTTTGGAGACGCCAGACACATGACGAAGAGTACTGCAGTTTTGGTGGGTCAGCCATGGTCCAGTGCGAAGGCCTGCAGGCAGACAAGCGAGGATGGGGATGCGTTTTGGAAAAGCCTTGAAGCCCACGCTTGGGATTTGAGTTTCCCAGACCTGGAGGAATGCAATGGAGGTTCCATGCATGGTGGAGCTCGTGTGCTTTTTGGGGGCCTGGATTTAATGGAGGGTTTATGCATTGACCTGCGAGGGTTTTGGAGGCTTGGAAGAATACAGCGGAGCGTTAGCATTGTGGAAACCTGTGTGCATTTTGGGGCATGGAACAATGCGGTGGGGCCAACGCTGCGACAAGCTTTGTCAACCGCAAAACGATGCAAGTGCTGCTTGTTTACCACGTCGGTGCGAAGTGAGAGAATCGTGCCAACATGACGGCCACAGTATATGTTCAGAAATGCAACTCACACAACGCACAGTGGCCCGGCCGGCCTGGCAACATCCTTCAAGTTGTAGGACATAATGTTGAATCGAGGGGTGCTTCAGAGAACCTTGCTTAAGAGCCCGAAGATATCAGATTTGTGGATAGCATCACCGCTGAGACTGTTTGACAGAAAGTCCGCCGGCATGAACGAAAGCTGAAGACAAGTACCAGAAGAGGTTGTTGCTTGCCCGCTCCATTGAGAGCTCGCATCGCAGTGGTTTGTTTGCCCTACGTCCTATGGGCCCCAGCGATTTCGAAAGGTCCTAGCGTGTCTAAACTCTTAAACGGTCGGAATCCGACCGTCGACTGTACTGGTAGCGGCGAGTGGCTTCTCCTTCTGAGGCTCAGGCCGAGGAGGCCGAGGCAAGGGCCTGGAGACGCGAGGCGCGCGCGGAAGAGTTACTCCGTGGCAGTGGCAGCAACCTTCCTTTGCCCAAAAGACTTCGGGCTCTTCTCTTGGAGCCTCTTTTTTCGAGGTGGGTGAGGCGAGGGAGGTGGTCTTCGGACTTCGGGTCTTGCAGCAAACACTGCTCCGTTTCCGTGCAGCGCTACGGCAAGCGAGACGACCGCCTCGCGCGCTTCATCTTGGAGGAGCAGAAGGCTGGCGCCGGCACTGGGTTTTGGGGATAATGCAGCTTGGCATCAGCTCAGTGCAGCTGGTACGTGCGACACTGCTTTCGGCCATGTGCGCACAGTCCAGCCGCTGGGCAGGCGCAGTCAGTAAAGTGTGAGGCGAGATCCAAGAAGAAGGCGCGGATGTCTACGTTGTCAAAAGGCATTGTCAGCGTGCAATAAGAACCTTGAGATCTTCAATAAAGGCCCCGGGCATGATTCATGGGACACCAGCACGCGACAGGTGGTAAATTTTCAATACAAAAGTTTGGTACACACTATGAGGCTCTTGATAGCTCTTACGTTAAGGGTAAGGATAACTGGATAGTGTCTACACCAGGCGCACCACAGGGTGCGCCAGGAGGCGCAAGCGGCTTATTCCGTGCTCCTGCTGTGGCACGGTGCACAGGCAACGCTCATGTCCCATGATTCCGGTTCGGCCACATCCTCCGGAAAGAAAGACTGACTGTAAGTTGTAAACTCGAAAAGATCCAACATTACACTCACCCTCAAAATGCTCAACATCCACCAGAGAAGGGGGGGGGTTGGGTGAACGATTTTGTTTTTGCCTTAGGGGTGTACTGGATCCCCAGACCGGACACCGACATCATCAGACATCATTGGCATCGCTGCCCGTCCAGGCACCGAAACACGAGAGCAGAAGCTGCTCGCTTGGAGCAGCACTTGGTATCGCTTACTTTCGCTGCTTTCGCTTGGCCGTTTGAGCTCCTGGAAGCTTCTGGACTGAGGCGCAGGGCTGGGGCTGGACACCGCTCATCTGGATCTCTTGATCGCTGAGGGTGCTCCTTTGCTGCGACCGGTGCGTTGTAACCCTGAGTTCAGATGATTGTTGCGCGTGAGGAATGGGCTCGTCGACATGAGGGTACATGTGCAGCACCCCTAAGGATGTGGATCTTCCTTTTATGTGATCCGAGGCTTGTCGGGTAGGTTGCTTTGGCAGGGTCTCAGAGCTGCATCTCACAGTCCCTCCTCTCTCTCTCTCTGTCTCCATCTCCCTCCCTCTCTCCCTCTCCCTTTCCATTACCCTCCGGAGACTGCGTTCCCGGAAAAGCTCGTTGTTGCGTGCTCTTTCTCTAAGATCGCTTGCAGAGCTCTTGCGATTTGTCGTGAGAGACTTGAAGGGCGTTTCCATGGGTGGAGGACTTGTCCTTACAAGTTCGTCGGCCAAATTCCAGAGCAACTTCACATCTCCGTGTTGGTACTTTAGCCATTTTGCAGACCATGCAGGTGGAGTATTGCAACGTAGTTTTCATGGGGAGCACCTACCTGTACGGGAAGATGCCATGCAGCCATGGCATTGGACCTGGGGGTTCGGCAGGCCCAGGCCTCCCGCTGCACGAAAACAGAGAGATTTCAAAGGGCGTACTTGTCTCCGGCCTTGATCCCTGCAGATGTTACAGGCTTCATTGCATTGCTAGCAGCATTGCCTTCTTCAGACCCCACAGAGCACACACGTAGGAGTGGGTTGGTTGCTCTGCAGGCCTCCCGGCCAACAGCATCATCACAAATGCTTAGAAGCCAACCTGCGGCACGGTGTGCCCCGGACACCTCCGGTGTGGCGGGCTCAGGTTCTTGCGAGTCTAGGCTTTGACCCATGACATGCAGTAACTATGCCTTCAGCATGATTGGGCACGTGCCGCATCATCTTCATTGGGTTCGTGCAGCTGCCATCTTGCTTGCTTGAGACAGGTGCGCCGTGGACAACACCCTGGGCCGAGGTAAGCAGCGTTTGCTCTGGGCATTGCATATCAAAGCAGACTCGCTCTCGATGAAATAAAGGCCTGAGGCAACCTCCAACATGCAACAAGACTCTGCCTGGCAAGACCAAGATATACATCTGGCAGTAGAGACTGGCCGGCATTCATGCCCTTAGCACATGTCCAAGCCGTCGCTGGAGGCTATCGGTGCCACGCGAGCTGCTGTCGCCGTGCTTTGTCGGTCTGCCAGTGGTGTGGATCTGCCACATACGATGGCAGAGGCCGCGGCCGTCACGCACCGCAGTGAAATGGCAGGGACGGGGCATGAGCAACGGCAGAAGACAGATGGCGTCTGGTTTGGCTGTGCAAACAACCGGTCCGTCAGCCGTGTCTGCATCGTATGAATTGCCGGGTGCATCAGTGCCGCGAAGTGGGACATAGAAACCTCGGACATCAACGAATCTCGACATCCGCTACATGCAGCAGGTATGCTGTCCTATCGCAAAGGCAGCGGACACGCTCTCAGCTTGACACGTCGCAAGGGCATCGCGGGCATTTGCATTCCTGCGCCCCAGGTTACGTCAGGCGGCTGTGAAGACAAAAGGCTTCGAGGTTGGACCCCGGAGCACCTTGACTCCAACTCTCCGACCCCTAAGGTGCCCGACCAAAATACTTTGAGGCATATGAGGTTTTTCCCAGAAAGGATCTAATTGCCTGAACGGAAGCGGTGATTCCCATGCGACATGAACAAGGGTTTTAGGAACCCCTCGCTTATGGTAAGGTTTGGGGCTTGCCTCCCATCGTCACTCCCCTTTCAGGGTTCGGGTTTCTCGGGAGTAACCTGTGGCTTCATTTGGGGTTCAGTGTTTAGGGGAAGCAGTCGCGTCTTTGTGGTGTGGGTTGGCCACTCATCTTCTCTGGTCACCCTTTGTTTTCATCCAAGCAGTCCTTGTAACGTTTGGATTTGCCAATGATGTGAGGGCTCTGTTGCGTGAGCGAGGTTGTCTCAAAACATCTTATACTTATACAGCCAGTTTAGACCCGAAACTATGAAAGGGAACTTAGCAGTCCAAACCCAACATAGCCACGAACCATTCCAGGAGTACAACCAAAAAATACTTGTTCTTGCTGTCTCATCTTGACAACTCAAGCATCGACCAGCATCTTCGCGATGTTAAGTGTAACTGTTATTGTAACATTACCTGAGCATAAACTGAACGCTAACTGTGAGTTTGATGTCACATGAACTGAACGTTAACTGGCGCCAGAGGGCCAAAGCCAGACCCCAAGCTGGAGATTTTAGTACTGCGACGACGACTACTACTGCTGCCACTACTGCTTTGCTACTATTACTACTCCTACTCCTACTCCTCCTCCTCCTCCTCCTCCTACTACTACTACTACTACTACTACACTCCTACTCCTACTCCTACTCCTACTCCTACTCCTACTCCTACTCCTACTCCTACTCCTACTCCTACTCCTACTCCTACTCCTCCTACTCCTCCTACTACTACTACTACTGCTACTACTACTACTACTACTACTGCTACTGCTACTGCTACTGCTACTACTACTGCTACTACTACTACTACTACTACTACTACTACTACTACTACTGCTGCTCTGCTTCCACCACCACTTCCGACTAGTGTCTTAATGTCATCTTCAACATGTCTTGGAACTACCTACTGCTGTTGCTGATACGACTAGTGCCGCTATGAGTCGGGGTCAGACTGCTGTGGTGGCTTGTCCTGGCGACAGTACCAAGCATCCGCTTACATGAACGGCATTTCCACCGAATCAGAGCCAAGGTGCCAAAGGTGGTGGCCACGGCGACCACCCTCTCACAAGATCGATTTCAGACGAAGAATATGGACGAGCGCACGATGACAGATTCCGATCGCTTGTCATGAAAGCTTACCTCGAGCTCGAAAAATACGAAGCTGTGGATGCCGTGCTTTGGACTGCAATAGTTACGGATCACGTTTTTTCTCGGAATATGTGTCGAAGTGGACATGGTCAGGCCCGAAGCAGCATTAGCAGGCCCAGTGGCAACGTGAACAGTACAGACCAAACCCGATTTGAAAGGGCGCCTTGTCTGAGCCGGATGCGATGTCCTGAAATGCAAAACGTATCTTCGCTGGCCCGATACCAGTCCGATACAATCTTGATGCGGCTCCTGAACGTTTTCGAGACGATTCCCCACGGCACTAATCACCATCGAGGTCGTAGACCCGAATGCGAGTGATCTGCATCGAGGTCGTATCCCAAACATTCCAGGCCATATCCAACTCGCAACAAGATCGCACGCAATTCGAATCGCAACCCCATGCCTTGGCTCAAACAGGACCTCCTGCAAATTGCAACTCCCATCACCGTCCAGTCCGCTCCATATGAGAAACTATTTCAGGAATCCATCCTTCGGCTGCAATTGAATTTACCGATGCTAGGAGATGTGAAAATCTGACGAATCTTGATATGGTTTCTCGAAGGTTGCGTTCAAAGCAAAATGACGCATGCAGGATATCAGCACAAGATCAAGCACCTCCAAAAGCAGAAAGGCTACTTGTATGGCTATCCGCTCGTCGCTCCTACAGTGCGGAGGCTTCCAAGCTTCGCCTGCAGGCATGGCCCGCATGGAGGACAACGTCCAACAAAGACAAGCGCTGTATTACTGCATGCTGCGTGTTTCATTTTTAACATGTCATCTGCACAAGAAGCATCGATAACATTCAACTGCCTGTGCAGCTGAAAAAGTGCAGCGAAGGTATTGAGACAACAAAGTTTTCAATCCCACCCAACAGTCCCCTCTTCACGCTAAGGCAGTAATGTCGACGCTGCTCGAAGAGATGACTCGAATGCTCCGGTCTCAGAAATTAGGGATTAGGCCGCGCTGGCCTGGCCGAACGAGTGGCTTGCTGCTTTGGGTAAGGTCTTCCGCTATCTCATGGGAGAGACAGCTGTACATGATCCTGGCACAGTGGCGAGAGGTGTGCAAGCAGCGAGGCTCGCTCTCGATTTGCTTAATCGCAAGAAGCATGACCTCGGTCTTGCGAAAGGGATCTTGAACATCGAAGACGGTGGGCACCCCAGTCGTGAGCAAAGGAACCTTGAGCATCAATCAGGCACGCAACACATCCCTCTCGACATCTCTCGACGGAAGGGAGTTTCACAGAAGAGCATTCAGCCGATGCTAAGGTATAGACCCAGAACTTTTGGAAGAGAAAGCATCGGGACTCAAGTTCTGGCTTTCCTTCTCAAGTGCAGACAAGTGAGTGTGCTCTTTGCCTTTGTTGCTGATTGTTGGACCCCGAAGCATCAGGACATACTGACCCATGACAGCTTTTGTGCACTGAAGGCGCCGGAGCCTCTCTGTTGGCGGCAAGTGGCAAACGTTGGTGGCTTGACGGTCGCCGCTGCCGAGATTGTGTTTTGGAAGGGCACCGCCGACAGCAAGGACAACGACATGCAGAGCTGCAAGGTGACAAGGCATCCATCAACAGCACCGCGTCTGTTGCGGAGGACGTCCGAGGTCGAGCCAGCAGGGGATTTGCTGCTCAGTCCGACGACGACTTCGAATCTTCTGAGGAGTGTCGCAATGACCGGATTCCTAGACCGTGGGTTGAATCAATGCTTTGCTTTTTGCAGGACCTGAGATCCTGTGGCCAGGGGGACCATGAGCCACCTGCTGCAACTTTGGACAACTCACACCGTTCTGAGTGTCCCGTCGCATGAGGCTCGTTGGGATGACTATCAAGAATTTGGTAAAAGCCCTTTCGCTTCTCATGGACGACAACTCCGGCCCGATTCGACTCCTCATGCCGCAGGTCTGCCAAAGTCTTCGAGAGAGCTCAATCGACCTGTTGAGCCAGTGGAGCCACACATGAATCAGGACACCTTAAAGGCTGTCGCGCAAAACGTTGTCGAGGACAGGACTCATTCTGCTGACTCTGCAAACCCCACAGCAATGAGACAAGCAATGGAGACTCAGCAGCGGCGGAAGCTCAAAGCACATCACGATGGCCTCCGGGGCTACTTGTAGCTGAGTCTCTTATCATCCGAAGGTTGCAACAACGGGGGTGGGGAAGGGCCCTTCCCTGGAGGTGCGCACTTTTGGCCAGACTGCACCGGGAGCCGGTTGGTCCCCCCCGACCTGGTCTAATATCAGACTGCCATCAAACGGAGAGAGAGGCCTCCAACGAAGCTCA